AGTAGCCCGAATTACAGGCATACGCTACCACGCCCGGACTGATTTTTTGATTTATTGTAGAGATGAGGTCTCGCTGCCCAGGCGGGTCTCGAACCCCACAGGCTCAGGCAATCCACTCACCTCAGCCTCCCAAAGGCGCGGGATTACAGGCTGAGCCACCGAGCCCGGCACTATTAGGAGTTTTTAATGAGGAAGGAAATGCTTACCCTATACTGTTCAGTGAAAGAAACTGGTTATAAGCATACGTACAGTGTGTGGTCATAATTTTTAAAAATACGTGCAAAAACACTGGAAGGAAATATCCTCCGTAAATGTTGGAAATTGTTGCCTCACAATGGTGGAATTAGGGGCTGTTGTTAGGTTCTTAATACATTTTGATGTTTTCCACTATGGAGGCTGATGATTTTTGCCATCAATATTTTTAAAACTCTAAGAAGGGAGAGAGAGACAGAGAGAGAAAGAGAGAGAGAGAGAGAAGGGGAGAAAGCGAGATGTGAACACAAGGTGTTGCTTTTGCTCCTTAGCACATAGCTGATGAAGATAGACCGCCGCAAGTGACTGTGTTAGGGACCCGACAGAACAGTACCTGAAATAAATGCCCTAATTCTGAACAGATACCTTAAAGGCACAGTAGACTGTCAAGGCAGCATCCTCTTTAGAATCTCAAGGATCAGTTTGCATCTCAGAGTCACCCACGGCAGTATAACTTAGTGGGTTAGCATTCAAGCCTGGCTCTGTCACATATCTGTGACAAATTTTTTCACCTCTTTGTGTGTCAGTCACTCATGCATAAAATGGGGGTAATAATCATAGAATCTTCCTCTTGATTTTTTGTAAGGATTAAATGAGTTAATATATGAAAAACTTGACCTAGCACATAGTGCATGCTCAATACATTGGCTACCTAGCATTATTTTGCTGATGAAGCCCAGAGAGTGTTAGAGGTTTGCTCAAGGTCACACAGCTCTTAGGGGTCATATAAGGGTGACAGCCTTGGTCTCTGGACTTCCTGCTTTGTTTTTTTGCCCTGTTCACAACCACCATCTCAGACTTTGAACCAGAAGTTAGTTAGCAAAGCCCACAGTGATCAGAATGAAGTCATTGCATTTCTAAAGACTGACTAATGTATTCATATCTTTTAGAGACTGTATGGAGAACAATGCCCTTAAAATGAAGTAATATATTTTAAAACTGGTGTTGTAGAACATTCATGGAAGATAAGACGGGATTCTTAGGTCAGGGTGAAGACCCCAGATGCCAGGGTCTTCTCACTAGTCATTTGACACATAGGTATCTAGAGCCTCTTATCTGCTGGTGTAGTGGGACACACTGCAGTGACCGGACAGCCTTTCTCTGCACAGGGCTTGCTGACTCTGGCCCAGTGCAAGCCCGAGTGCATGTCCAGCTCATTAGCCAGGACCAGGGCATATCATCAGAGCTCAGAAGCCTCACGCCCAAAATACACTGTGACCACGTTTTAACCAAATCTCCTTGTATTAAGCTCAAAGAGAATGTGTGGGCATGAAAGGACAGGCTGGGCCTGAAGGAGGAAAGTCTTGTGCTCTGACCATTCCAGAGAACACATTGGCTCCTGGTCAAGTGTTCTGTGTATGTTACTTGGGGTGAATATGGTCAGTTCTGACCCAAGGTGATAGCAGAAGCAGCAAGAGGCTGAGTCCAAAAGAGATTGAATTCAGGGTCTGGGAGAATCATGAAAACAACACTGGGCAGTTCTGAATGAGTCTCTTCTCATCACCTGGTGACCTTGGCCAAGTCCTTTGACCCCCATGGGCCTCAGTTTACCTACCAATTTTCAAAGCGTCCTTCTGGTTCTGGTGCTCTGTATCTAAGCTCTGCACTTTGCCCGGATTTCTTGTTGGGCAGACGAGCGCTTCAGTGGGCCACAGAGCCAGGTTTGCTTCTTAGTGACAGTAGGATTCCAGAAAGTTCTTGGCCACTTTTGGCTCCAGTTTCTCCATCTATGAGGTGGAGGTAGTGATGATAACCCTGTGTGGTGGGACCGAATGGGGCGATGCTAATGGAAATGCTTCGTCTGGTGTCAGTTACTGCAGAAAGATAATAAATCCTCTTACCAAAACAATGGCAGGTGTTAAACTGTTCCCAAGGGGATGTGTCTACAGTGGCCCCAGCCCTTGGTCCCCAGGAGATCCTGCCCAGGGAGCCTGCTCTGACCACAGGCAGCAACTTGGCTGCCTGTGGGGACCTGTTCCGCCTCCACCCCATCGCTAGTCCTCTGCCCCTCCTCACCTTCCTTCGGGGCCGTGCAGAGGAGGACCCCTGCAGCATCTCTTGAGTCTGCCTACTGGGGTGTAGGAAAAGGAGGGCTGAGGCTGGGGAGGGTGGTGTCCTCACTTCTCTCTGCCTCTGGCCACCTCAGTGGACTTCAGATGCCAGCAGGGTTCCGGGGTGCAGCAGGAGGGTCTTCAAGGGGGCATCACAACACACACATTTTGGGATTTTACTGTCAACATTTCCTCTCTCTTTTTGGTGGCTCGGGCCATGCTGTCACCTTATTTGTCACAGCAGCCATTTCCCAGGACCTCCTGGGTTACCACTCTCTCTCATTTTCTTTCCTCCTTCTCCGTTCCACTGGGTGCTTCTGTCATTCTAAAAGCACATCCTGGGCACAAGCCCTGTGCCGGGCGCTGGGACCTGGAGGTGATTCAGCCTTGAAGTTCCAGGGAAGCAGACCTGTGAGCAGTAAAGGCCCCCCGCATAATCACAGGGACTGGTGGGAGGAGCAGGTGGGCAGGACAGGCCTCAGAGGAAGGCTGAGTTGGGCCTGGACACTTGTGAGCTATCAGGGCCCAGACCAGGTTGAAAGGGAATCCTGGGTGATGGAGGGGTGGATGGGGGTGGTGTGTGAATGCGTGTCCACTCTGGTCAGCTCTTTCCACCACATGCCATCCTCCTCAGTTGGTGCGGAAACAAAGAGCTCCCAGCCCCGAAGGGACAAGGTACCTCCTTGGGCTGTCTATGTGAAGACATTGCCGTTCTCCATTTCTGCATAATCCTGATCTTAAAAACTGAGCAAAATTTTCACAGAATGGAGAGAGGATAGTAGGAGGGGGGTGCCCAGTGCTTCACTGACCATTTTGTTCTCTTTAGGGCGATGCTGAAGAGGGGCTTTCCGGCCCTCCTAAACCCACCAGACCTACCATACCCACGGTGAGATTCTTGCCCAGGCTTGTCACATGCATTTATGCAGTCACACAGCTTTTCTAAATGGCTTCCAATGTACCTTGCAGTCAGACCTCAGGACTTTCTGCCTCTACCAGTACCCCGCAGTGTACTCAGAAGCAGAATTTATTTATATCCAGTTTATAGCCTGCACCCTGAATAGCCCAGAGGCTCCTCAAACTCAATGTGTCCGAGACTGGACTCATCCCCCTTCTCTGGAAATGGCACCCCATCTACCTGATCACCAGGAGAGAAATCAGGAAACGTCTTTGAGTGGTCTCCTCCCTTCCTCACCCACATCCAGTCTGTACCCAAGTTCTCTGAGTCTAGCAACAGGCTCCTAACTGGCCTCCTTGCCTCCTTATCACCACTTCCCTTCTCCCACCCACACACACACCACCATGACCTTCCTAGAGCCAGTTCTGTCCCTCCAAACCCAGCTTCTCCTCGGAGCCTCTCAGGGGTACTCAGAACATACACAAGCAATGGTTGGATTAGATTCCAGCCTTAAGGAACTAAGTACCAGGAAGGTGTCTTAGAAATTCCATTTTGTTCCTTGAGCGTTTGAGGCCATTCAACGAGAATGCACTGAGGGGTTTCTTAGTGCCAGGCTGCCTGCTGGATTTTGTGCACCCAATGTGTCTCAGGTTTGGGCCTGCCCTTGAAGAGCCCTGGTCTAAAGGAGCTGACAGTCACACTCACAACTAAGCTTCAAGTTAGGTGGTGGTCCTAGTGCCAAATGGAGACTTGAACAGAGGTCAGAAGGAGGACAGAGGAGGGAGAAATGAATTCCACCTGGAAATGGGGTATGAAGCCTTCACAAAGGAAGTGACTGCGGAACTAGGCCTTGAAGGATGAGAAGGGAATTGAAAGGCAGGAAAGGAGGCTGAGGACTGGCAATGTGTTGGCTTCACAGCTGGAAGCAGTAAGGAAAGAGGGTGGCCACAGTGAGGAGTGGGAGAAAAGGCCAGAGGGAATGTTGGGAGCAGAAGTTACAGGGCCAAAACTTGAGGTGACATGGCTGTCCTTGGAGATTGGCAGTTGAGTGCAAGGTGTGGGAATTTTTTCTCTCTCCAGGTGGGAGCAGAGGCAGAGGGCTCTGGCCTGGGCTGGGGCTCGGATGTCAGCTCTGGCTCCGGTGATCTGGTGGGCAGTGAGGAGGTGCTAAGGGTGAGTATGAAGGATGATGCAAGCTGGTGTCTGGGACTGCCCTCAGAATGACCCGGGAGGGCGGGGCGTGGGGGGCGAGTGACTGATGAAACCAGACTGGCCGTCCTCAAGGATCGTGGGCTGTGAGTTGGTGGGGGTTCATGACACTTTTCCCTTTACTTTTGTCTATGTTTGACGCGTTCCACTTTGATCAGTTTTGTCTTATTTTTAGTGCACGTGTGCCTCAGTGTGTCACAGGACCTCCTCATTCCCACGTCCCTCCTTCCCCGGCAACCTTCTCCAGCAGGCTGCCCACAGCAATTGTGCCCACTGGCCTTCGCGTCTACAAGTTGGCTTTTGATCCCCCTGCCCTCTACTCTTACTCTATGCAGTAGCGAGACCTGCTGGCCTCTTCTCTGGGCAGCATGTTATACTTTGGCTTCCAGAAGCTTCTTGAAATCTTCTCTTCCCTTAGGCAGTCCCCTCCCTACCTCTCCAGACTACTCTTTCCCCTCTTTGGGATTTCTTCCTCCTCCTGCCCAGGTTGGGACTCTACCAGTCCCTTTCTAATTTTCCTCCTGGGGAGTTCCTCCCTTCTTCAGCTGCCGCTGGTGCCTCTGTCCCTGAGACTCCAACCTCATCTCCAGCCCTTTCCTTGAGCCATTGAGCTCAATCCCCAGTTAGAAGCATGGCCAGGGCTGGCATGGTTGGGAGCCAAAGGGATGTCCCCCGGTGGAGGAATCAACCAACCCCAAAAGAGGTTTCGGAGACTAGTACCCTTCAGGAAGTATTTTGACAACAAGGCTACACAACAGGCAGTTTTTAACTGACTTCATGGATAATCAGAAAATGAAATTCGCCAGAGCACCTCTGAGAATTCTGCCTAATTGGATCTTTATTGTGTACACTCATGGGGGAGAAAATATGGTCTAGTGGACTCAGAGAGATCAAGATTCAAATCTCAGCTCTTTTACTAACTAGCTGTGTGTGTGTGAGCGTTTAAGCCACATTACGGCACCATGCCTCAGTTTCCCCATCTGCTGTGGGAGGGCACCAATTCCTACTTGCAGGACTGTTGTTGGAAATGGAGAGAATATATGGAACATATGTGTTCAGTATATATTTAGCCTTTCCTCACCATTTCTAATGGAGTGTCTGTGTTTCAGGGTCCCCCAGGTCCCCCAGGCCCACTTGGCTCACCTGGGATTCCAGGAAAACCAGGAACTGATGTTTTCATGGGACCCCCTGGATCTCCTGGGGAGAATGGAGCTGCTGGCGAACCCGGGGTCCCGGTGAGCAACTGAGGTCCTCTCCTGGTCTCTGTGGCCCTGGGACTTCTTTTAGCCAGGGATGAAGGGTGGGGGGGGGAGGAGAGGGCACACAAATGGCAGACCCCAGCATTGTCTATGGCTCATGATGGAGAGAGAGCTCATGCTCGCTGTTTGGAAACAAACATCCTCTTCATCTGAATCATTACTGGAACTCCTAAGAAGCAGCAGCCAAGAAAAACCTCATCCCACATGTTGTTTTGCTTTTTTATCATCATCAGTAGGGTGGTACTTAACTTCCAATGATTTGGCTTAGGATTTTTGACTTTATGATGGGGCAAAATTGATGTGTGTTCAGTAGAAGCTGTACTCTGAGTTCCATACAACTGCTCTGTTTTCACTTTCAATACAGAATTCAATAAATTATGTGAGACATTTAACACTTTACTATATTTATATTAGAGCCTGTTGTAAAATAGGTTTTGCATTAGATGTCATGGCCCAACTGTAGGCTCATGAAAGTGCTCTAAGCACGTTTAAGGTGAGCTAGGCTCAGCTATGATGTTCAGTAGGTAAGGTGTGTTCAGAGCATTTTTCACTTAAGATCTTTTCAATGTGTGGCGAGTTTATTGGACGTAGCCCCATCGTAAGTTGAGGTGCATCTGTCTGGGAAATGCAGACTCAGGAAGAATCTTGGAATCATGGGACATCAGGGTTGGGCCTGGGGTGGAAGTCCCCTGAGGCCCACTAGTCCAACTCTGCCCCTGACTCCCCTACAGAAGAAGAAATGACCCAGAGAGTGAAGGACACTTTGCAGTCAGCAGTGGTCCAGCTGGGACCCAGGACTGGGCTCCTGCCTTGAACCTGGTTCAGGACTCTGGGCCCACCAGCTTCATCCACCTTCTAATCCTGCCCTCCTTTTCTAGAAGGTCTGGTAAATGACTCTTAGCAGAGATATTGTGGGCTGATTGTCACTGATGTTTCCCAGGGTCCCGAGGGACAGCCTGGAGTTGATGGAGCCACCGGCCTTCCCGGGATGAAAGGAGAGAAGGTAAGAAACATGGGAGGGTCCCAACACCTGGGCGCCACCAGGTCCACACTTCTCTCTCTGACCCCTAAGCCTGACTCGCCTGTTATGTGAATGACCCCTGAAACCCTGAAACCCCCTACTGGGCACCTCTGCTGAATGTCTCCATCAGGGGACTCATTATGCTCAAGCCTGAACTCAGTACCTTCCCTGCCCACTCTTGAATGTCCCCAGCATGAGTGAATGGTGGCACCACTTACCTGGTCACCTGGACTCAGAATGTAGTTTTCTCTCATTCCTCGGTCTCCCTTTCCTATCGTGATGGGTCAGCTGCCAAGATTTTGACCTCCCCATCTCTCGCCTGTGTCTCCCTCTGAACTGGACTCATCTCTTCTTATCCATATGATGGCTTTGGGCTTTCATCGCTGCCCCATTCCTCCCAGTCCACAATCCACCCTCCAGTCCCCTGCCCAGTCTACCTTCTTGTGGCAGCTCCCATTGGTCACTGCCCTGGACACTAAGAAAACATGGAGGACCTGGCTGCCTGTAGCACAAACTCCTGACTGTGCAGACCTCCAGCCCTTCCCGGCCTGCACTGGTGCCTCTCTAGGGCATCCCCCAACTCCCCACACGGCCTCCTGGCCAGCGGGCCAACCCTGCCTGAATGCTCTAGGCATGCTCATCCCTGCCGGCCTCCTGTTCCTGGCACATGGTTTTCTCCCCATCTGAGATGTCCTTTTCCTTTTCTCATGCTTCAAGGCCCGGTTGAGACAGATCCTCTGGGAAGCTTTCTCCAGCTCTTTTTGAGCAGAAAGCATCTCTCTTTCCCCCACTTTTTTTTTTTTTGAGTCAGGATCTCACTCTGTCACCTAGGCTGGAGCGGAGTGCAGTGGCACCATTAGGGCAGTGGCACAGTCAGGGCTCACTGCAGCCTCAACCTTCTGGACTCAGGTGTTCCTTCTGCCTCATCCTATTGAGTAGCTAGGACTGCAGGGGCACACCATCATGGCTGGCTAATTTTTTGACATTTTGTAAAGATGAGGTCTCACTACATTGCCTAGGCTGGTCTCGGACTCCTGGGCTCAAGTGATCCTCCTGCCTCGGCTTTCCACAGTGCTGGGATTACAGGTGTGAGCCACCCCACCTGACCCTCCTTCCTTCACTTTCGATGAACACAGTACTCATGCTGCTGACAACCTTACTAGCCATTCTAGTTAAAGATGTTAGCTTACCTGTCTGCTCCTCATCCCCACCCTGACACAGAGCCCGTCGTTCTGCCACTGTATCCTTAGAATCTAGCACAGGTTTTGATCAGCATTTGATGAACAAATGGGACTTCTTTCAGACTCCATTTGTCTGCCTTTCACAGAGTCTAGACTGCCTTCATTCTCTCTATTCTCTGACTGTTAGTCCCTTGCTAAGGATCTGGGGGTGGGGGTGATTCCTGTCCCTACAGTGTTCCCAGCCGGCTTGATGAGATGAGCCATGTCTGGCAATAAAGATAAGGTGAGTCTTGTGCTAGTGATGTAGTCAGTGAGTTTTACTGGGTTCAGGGGAGGGAGAGCCCCTTCCAGCTGGGATAGGAAGTGGGGGCCTTCTGTGCACCCCTCGTGAAGACACGGAAAATGCTGACTCCCTAGACACCACCATCACCACTGAACTGAATTTCTAGTTTCCATCAGTTCTCCGGTGTGTTTACTTTCATTGAAGCAGTAACTCGATTTCCATGGAAAGCTTATTTCTCAGAAAAAGAAACAATTGTCAAGTTTTATAGAACTCATTTTACATATACCAGCTGTTTCATCAGAAATTGCATTTTGCAGGAAACACCACAGACTTGTGCTCATCTGACCAATTCTTCTTCCCAGCTCCCCCCACCCGCCCCCACATACCCCTCCCATGGTCTGTCTCATACTTAAAGATACCCAGGCCCCAAACTGCATGCAAGACACCCGCGCAGGCTCGCCCTGCCGCTGCTGAGAAAATCAGACGTGCATGGGGTGGCAGGTTCACCCAAGATGACTGTGGGAGAGCAATCGCAAGCTTGTTTGTTCCTGAAACTTGCTGAGTCTCTCCACGGCACGTGTGTATATGATACTTCCTCGTCAAACAAAAGCAGACTTTAGAAGGACTTGGAAAATTGCACCTGGAACACTGGAGGGAAACCTCGCACATAACGTGATTTTATTAAAAAAACAAAAACCAAGGAGCATATTTTGGACATAAAATGACAAAAACATGATGAAGGAAATGAAGACTCTCAGGGACGCAGCAGAACATAAAGTTCAATGATACGTTTGATCCTTGATTCTGCACCACAATATCTGTCTTTCAGTTTGCATACCTCTAGTGACAGGGAGCTCATTCCCTGCCCAGGCAATGCCTTTCACAGTTGGATGGACCCACTTGTAAGGAGGTCTTTCCTCATGCTGCAGAGAAATTGTCCTTTCTTCTCAAGAGCGGAGTCCATATACCAATCTAGACAGTAATCTAAAATGGGGATTTTCCCCCAAATAAGATTCCATTTATTAGCTGGGAAAATTATATGTAAAATTTACATATATATATATGATTGAGATGTGGATAGTCTTCAAGAATTTGTCAAATAGATTATTCTATGCTGAGTTTAATGACAGAAATATCCCAACTTGATTTCCCCCAAATTAAGGTGAGCAACTGACTCTATATGTCTTTCACCCAAGAAGGGAGAGGTGAGGAGTCTCCTGCTTTCTGTGCTGTAGAATGTTTCTGGAAAGAATGCCAAAGAACTTGCTGGAGAAGATGGACCTCTGAAAAATCATTCCTTTCTGATTTTTGCACCACCCAGTTCTTCAGAACATGTCTAGGATTAGTAGATGTCATTGTTTTTCTGCTTTCAGAATCTAAGTCATTCACATTATTCTGCAGTCTTGAAGGAACTGGGACATCCAGGCAGGAAAGAGTTTGTGCTTAACACAAACATCAGGGCCTAGAATTGCTGACGAATGCTGAGTTCCCAGTAGCGGGCTCTGAGTACTTTCACTGAACTGCTGAACTGTAAAGTCAGTTTCTGTCTCTTTCATAAGATACCAGAGAAGTGCAATCAAGCCATCACCTTTCCTTTCTCCAAGTCATCCCAGTTTGTCTTTGAACAGTTCTCTAAATCTTGTGTAATACCGAACAGGACAGCAAGCTACTTTTGCATGGGATCCAGTCACGGGTTTAGAGCTTGTAATATGTCCAAATGAAACCCTGAAACAGTTGCCTGAGTTCCTATTTTAGCCCTTCTTTCATCATCAGAAGTGTTTGGGTCAACATCTGGATTATATTCCACCATAAAACCAAACAGACCATAGTCAATTGGAACGGATAACACATTGGTTATCAACATTACAGATACCAGGAACAAAACCAGCAGATATCCACCAGGCAATGAGTTGTGCGGTCTCAGATGCCACAATAGGAAAAAAAAAATCCATGTATGTATTGGGTTCTTTGTGGTTTCTGTATGTTGAGATCTAGCCACGTCCTTAGTAACTCCAATTCATCATCATGAGTCAACATTTCGAGTGAATTCTAAACCATGATTCTACAACATGCAGCACCACTACCCTTTGCAGTCTTTCCATTGTAGAATTGATATCTCCATATTTCATCACTGACAACCACACTGAGACACTGCTAACTGGAATTCCAAGACAGTCCATAGTCTCACTACACAAAAATTCTCTCGCTAGGAAGTAACGTACACATTCACTGTCACCATTTCAGGACTAGACTTTCCTCTAGCCTGTTCGCTAGAGTTCCCACTTTTCACCCTGCCTGTTCATGTAAATTCCAGTAAGGTGGTTGCTTTCACTCCCAAGCTGATCTGCTCATGTTCCAAGCTTGTGGCCATCATACCTCTGATTCAATGGAATAAATCCCAAAACCTCCTATTTACCATGTATAAGCTAGGTAAAATACTCTAAGACAGACAAATCAAGGTCCAAAGTATCTTCCAGAACTTCCTTTGAAATTGCTATAAGACACACTCTTGATTTGAAAGGAAAGGGAAAAGTGATTGAAAAAATAGTTTTTCACTTAACAAATGTAATTTTCCCTCTTTCCCTCCCTCTTTCCTTCCTTCCCTCCCTCTCTTTCTCTTTCCTTCTTCCTTCCTTCCTTCCTTCTTTCCCTCTCTCCCTCTCTTTCTTTCTTTTTTTTTTTAGTTGGAGTCTCACTCCATCACCCAGACTGGAGTCCAGTGGCACACTCCCGGCCATTGCAACCTCCATCTGCTGGGCTCCGATGATCCTTCCGCCTCAGCCTTCTGAGTAGCTGGAACTACAGGCGCGCACTACCATGCCCGGCTAATTTTTTTGATTTATTGTAGAGATGAGATCTTGCCAAGTTGCCCAGGTGGGTCTCGAACCCACAGGCTCAAGCAATCCACTCACCTCGGCCTCCCAAAGCACTAGGATAACAGGCTGAGTCACTGAGCCCAGCCTTTCTTTCTTTCTAATAGAGACAAGGTCTCGCTATATTGCCTAGGCTGGCGGTGAAATCCTGGGCTCAAGCTATTTTCCCAGCTTGGTTTCCCAAAGCACTGGGATTACAGGCAAGCCACCGCACCCAGCCACGAACATAATTTTCTTTTACGGTATCATTGGCAGCACAGCTATAAGGTTTTGAGATAAGGCTACTTCAGTTTCTGTCTCACAATAGCCCCAGTAGTAGTTTGACTTGTTACTGGGAAGATGTACAAGGTTGACACTTCTGTCAAGGACAGTTTGCAACAGGCAACAGGCGACAGCCAGACTGGTCACACCCAGGAGAAGCAGACACGGAAACTGTGGCCTCCAGATTAGACATGAAAATGGGAACTTTATTATTTGAGTCATGTTTTCTCCCCAAGTGGAAGGTCACGCTTAGTTTCTCCCTGGTGGGGCTGGCCAGCCAGAAGGTGACGGGCCCAGTTACTGCTACTTCTTCCACTGAGCATTCCTTCCCCTGCCACTGCTCCAGAATGGCCAGGGTGCCCTCTACCAGGGAGGTGTCAAGGCTCCATGAGGCTGCCTTGAGAGCCCCTACAGAGGGCTTTGGTGGCAGAATTTCTGTGCCACTTCAGCATCACCCTTCCTGTCTTCAGAGTCAGGTGTCTTTTTCTGGAGGGCCAGAGCCCACCTCACCCTCATCCTCTGCTGTCCCCATTCCTAGGCTAAGGGTTGGGTAGGGTATCCCAACAGGAAAACAAAGGAGCTGTCTCTGCAAGAGATGGAACCTTTCTCACGCACCATGCGTGCCCTAGACCTAAGGCATTTTTCTTTCCTAGCATAGTGTGATGACCCTCATCCAGCTGGTCCTGGAGCCTCACCCAGGGGAGCAGCCAGTTCCCTAAAAAGATGATCGTAGCTACCAAAAAAACAGCATGGGCCGTCTGTGCAGAGCAGAGAGGGAGATGGTTGTGTATTGGCTGCCCATTGCGTGCAGGCCTTTTTCCTGGATGTGTCATGCATGGCCTTGTCTTTCTCATCTACTCTGAGAGCATTGCTTAGGCTTATGCTCAACTGGGGTCCCAAAGGATCAGAGCTAGAAGGAACCTGCAAAATGATTTAGTCCCTAGTTTCTTAACTGTCCTGACAGAGCCATGCCTCAGAGCTCTTAGTTGGAAGGACAGAGCAACTCTATTTTCGGCATTGCTTAAATTAAATTTCAATTGTAACAGTAATCGATAAATACATTTTCCTTGCTTCCTGTGACCCATTTCCTCTTTGATTGTTCTTATGGAATTATTCTTATGACATCCTCTAGTCATATTTTCAGAGAGAGTCTATAGATGTCTGAGACCTTGGATATTTTGTAATGTCTTTATTTTGTTCTCATTTGCCTGGGTGTAGAATTCTAGGTTCAAAGTCATTTGCCTTCGGTGATTTGAAGGTGATCTCTGTCATCTTCCACCATTCAGTCTTGCTAAACATGAAGTCAGATCTCACTCTGATGAAGGTCATCTGACTTTTCTCTTTGGCAGACTTCGGGATTTATTTTTCTTTATTCTTGGTGTTTTGAAATTCCCTTGCATTGTAACTAAATGTGGATTATTTAAAAATTTATTCTTCCATGTATCCTTCCTGGTACTCTATGGGTTCTTTTTTTCTTTTGGTGGGAGGGAGGCTAGAGAATGCTTTTTCATCTAAAGACTTCTGTGTTTTTTTTTCCTGAAAAATTTAGCTATTATTTTTTCAAATACTTCTTTCTTTGTATCTCTTTATTCTCTCTCGCCACTCCAACTAAACAGATGTTGAAGCTTCTGACTCTGTCCTCTGTATAGCTAACTATTTTGTCTTTCCTTCTGGGTCTTTATTCTCTTGTGTTGCTTTCTGGGAAATTCTGTACCTGCTCTCTGTATCAATTTTTTCTTCACCTGTGTCTGTTCTGTTACTTGGTTCTTCAATGGAGTTCTTCATCTCAATAGTTTTATATTTATACTTCCGAGATCTCTAATTGGTTCTTTTTCATAACCACTGTTCTTATTTCATAATAGCTTGTCCTTGTTTCATGGCTGTAATAGCTTCATTTTTCTCTCTGAGAACATATATTGTATGCTTAACATCCTGACTGGATTGTTTTCTATTTCCTCGGGTATATATTCTGTGGTTGATTTAGTTGTCCCTCATAGTGTTGTCTTTCCTCGGATTTTGGTGTTTCTTGCTTGGGGTGTTTACCTGTGAATCCAAGATCCTGCTTTATTCTGTTTTCTGCCTCTGTACAGACTGTTGGGAGGTGGGCAATAGCTACTTTTGAGACTTGCTGTTTCAGGAAGAGAGTGGAAGGATTTGCCGTCAGGCAGGGTACCTCAGCAACTGATCTTCTGAATTTGGGGTGCCCCTGGGCCTCCCAGGGTTCTCTAGTCACTTGGAGTTCTGCCCTATCTCTTTGCCCCAATAAACAACTCTTATTGCTCTAAAATTAAGGCCCTATAGTTGCCCCTTGGCAGGAGTAGGGGTGGGTGGGGAGGGGAGGTGGGTAGGCTGGATGGCTGGCCTGGTGCAGTTTCAAACCTCCTTCCTGTCTGAGGCCTGTGGGCCACACCCTACACCTGGCTTCACCACCACTTTGCAGGATACTTTACTCCCTGTGGTTTCAATGCCCGAGGCCTCTGTCTTCAGCTTTACCTTTGACATTTTTGCCTTTGACATTCCTATTTCAGGTCCAGCATGACTGCCCATCTTCTTTTGGAGCACAACCATTTTAGAGCTATTCTTATATCATTCCTATGGATTTGATATAAAAAGGGGACTCTAGCTCAGGGACAAAAGAGACTAGGGGGGAGGGCACAGTTTTTGATGACTGGTGCATCATAATCAGTGTCAGGGCCTTCTCTGTGGCCGTGCAACTGCTGGCTTCTTCTCTTGCAGGTGTGTTTGTGGTTTTCTCAGAGATTCTCTATCTGGGACCCCCTACTGAAATCCTCTGATGTAGGGCAATGTTCCTTAGCTGACCACTCCTAACCACCCAGCCCCTGCTGGTCTTCCTCACTGCTTGGAGCTCACAGTTGGGTCCTTTCTGTGGGATCCACATCTAATCCCCAGAAACTGTAGTGTGGTCCTCACTGGGAGTGGACATGCAACATCTTCCCCTATTCTGTCCTCTGAGGCTACTTCAGTCAGCGTTTGGTCTTTAGATCTTTCCAGAAGAGAGACAGTCATCATCCATCATATCTCCAAAAGCCTAGGGAATGCATATCCGTTCTTGAAGCCCCTTCCTTTTGTTTAGAGTAGGAAAAACACCCTTTTACCTCTGTCATGGGACAGCAGCAAGGGTTGGGGATGGAAAGGGGACCACTCCAGTCTACTGAAAACTCTCCAAGGGAATTCTTCTATGATCTGTCTATGGTTAACCTTCAACTTCTCTGGTTTAGTCTGGAGGTAGATGATAAGCTGATAGTTGAAAAGTGAGTTTCACAAGCTTCCAGTATGAATTGCAGACTGGCAACTCTTATAATGTGCTCAGCTTGGAGACATCAGCCAAAACTAAGACAGAAACACAGAAAGATTTCCATTTTAGTATCCTATTACTTAAGAGTCTATGATTCTGCATTTTCTTCTGCACATACCTAATGATTGATATGTATATATAAATTGGTCTTTTTCTTTGTTTTTCAGGGAGTAAGAGGGCCTAATGGCTCGGTTGGTGAAAAGGTATTTTAAAAAGTTATTAAAAAATCTTTCTTCTCCCCCCTCCCCTTTCTTTGGATTTACTATAATTGGACTGTTGAGCTGTGGTGTTGAATGTCTAAATGTCATGAGAGCAGAGAGAAGCGCATCTCAAAGGAATTGCTCAAGAGATGGTGGGGAGTAAATACCCTTCAATGTTTTCTCCTTCCTCACCCCTCCCTACAGATGCATACAGATAAGTGCACCAGCTTACCTCCAAGTGAAATGTCAATTAGCAAGACAGCTGTCTCTGTGCCATTAAGCAGTAGCGATTGGAGAATTCATCAACCTAATTAACTTCAAAGAATGATTTTCTGATTCAGGCGTGCATGTTGTTTCTTCCCTGAGTGAACCCAGGGGTAGGTAATCAGCCTGTCCTCTTTCCTACAGGGTGACCTCGGCAACAGAGGCTTACCAGGTCCCCCAGGGGAAAACGGACAAGTTGGCATCCCTGGCGTCATGGGACCCCCAGGGCCTCCTGGACCACCCGGGCCCCCAGGTCCTGGCTGTTCAATGGGACTTGAGGTAATTTCTTTCTTTTCTATGGCTAAAAAATGTTGTTCACTAAGAGCTACTGGGGCATCAGCTAGCTTAATCTTGGTCCGAGGGCAGAGGCTGTGCCAATTCCCCTCTGAGACCCTGGTTCCCAATGCCACACAAGTAAGTGCTTGGGGACTAGATCTGAAATTCTCCTTCCTCCTCCTTCCCCAGGATACCGAAGGCTCTGGAGGTTCCAGGCTGCTGAATGAACCCAGGATCTCTGGACCAGTGGTCTCAAGTGTAGGTTGACTCTGCAGCCTTCGTTGTGAGGAAGGCGGTCACGCTAGAGTGAGGAGGCTGTGGGGTGCATTCTGACTCTGCCACTTTGCCTCCAGCTGTGCTGTGGGGGAAACTAGGTGCTCCTTACAGCCTGTGTCTTTGAGGAGCAGCATAGAAATTTTGCACAAAACATGTGGGAAGAAAACTTGCAAATCGTCTTTATCTCTCTTCATCTATTTCTCTCTGTCTCTCTCTCCTTCTCCAGTCTCTTACCAATAAGTGTCTCTGCTTTATTTCCTCCCTCCTGTTGCCCCAGTGGATATTCACACTTTGCCTCACACTTTGCCCCATTTCAAGACCCTGTGCTCCTGGCCGGTGCCCCTTCTGGCTGCATCTAGCCCCCTGCAGGTATGGTCTTTCTTCTGCCATGATGCCTGCTCTCACAGGGACGAACTGCCTGCATCTTTGTCAAATGGGACTCAGAGCTGAGCACCCCAGTCCAGGAGGGCACAGCATAGCCCCTCCCATGATTGAACAGGCAGACCTCCCCCTTCCCCTAGATGCAGAGGGCTCCCAGATGCAAGGTCAAAAAGACATTGACCCGGAGCTGGGAGCCAGCCTCTGAGTCCCTTACTCTCTGTGGGGTGTTGCTTTTTTCTGACTGGAAGGAGAATTTGCCCCTCATCCTTTGTTCCCATCACCCGGGACAAAATCAGCCTGAGAGCTTAGGGAGAGGTGGCAAGAAGAAGGGAGAGATGGAGAAAGCTCAAAATGACTAGAAGAATATTTATTTATCTGTTTGTTTATTTTGCCAGGGTCCCAAAGGAGAAAAAGGAGACCGGGGACCCAAGGTGAGGTCACAGACCTAAGGAGGTAGTGGAAGGACTTTGCAGCCTGGTTCTAGGAGCATTATCCATGTACAGTGAATTTTTTTTTCACTTCTCACTGCTGTGACCAGGGTGACAGAGGCATGGATGGAGCCAGCATTGTGGGACCCCCTGGGCCGAGAGGGCTACCTGGGCGCCTCGAAGTCTTGTCTAGTGTGAGTATCACCCAGATCAGAGATCACCTACATATTTTCTGTCTTTGCTAAAGGGGAGAGAAGATTGTTCACCCTTTATAAATATTTATAACTTCTCCTATAACATATGCAGGGAGCATGTAGCCAGCAACCAGGGTTGGAGTTTTTACTCACAGTTCAAGTACAACAACAGACTGACATTAATGTTAAAATAAAAATTGACCGGGCTTGGTGGTTCAACCTGTAATCCCAGCACTTTGGGAGGCCGAGGCGAGCGGATAGCCTGAGCCCGCAGGTTCGAGACCAGCCCAGGCAACTTGGCGAGACCTTGAGGAAGTCAAGGCTGTGATGAGCCGTGATTGTGCCACTGTACTCCAGCCTGAGTGACAGAGGACCTCACTCAAAAGCAAAACAAAACAAACAAACAAAACAATAAACCAGTTCTGGTAAGTTTACAGAGACTACACACGTAAATGCTTTTGTGTCCCTACTTCACCTTTTAACATATAGGGCCTAATTATAATACATTTAAATATTGTCTCCACCCCAAAATAAATGAGTCATATATTACAAACATATGTATTCAATACATATACGTCAAGCCCACCTTCATAAATATTCATAACTCCTTCTATAACCTATTAAATATATATTCAGCCAATGCATTTGACATAAAACGTCTACCCCTCAGGCCCTCCTCCTTCAAAATGACTGTCTCTTATCTCTTGCCAGAGACTACACTCTCCAGTCTATACAATAACCACCTAACAGGTTATAACCCTTTACAAAAAAATAAAATCTCCTCTTCAAATGTATAAATTGCACAATTTAAAAAATGAACACAGTCTAAGAGCATTAGAATTGTTGGGGTCTTAAAGAAGCCCCAAATGAGTAGCACGCATGCCTTCCCCAGCCAGGTTCTAACAAAGCCAAAGTCGAAGATACCACCTTTGCTATGGATATAGGTTGGGCTGAAGGCCTGCCCCCAGCGGGAGAGCCAAATGCCCCTGTTGACTAAATCCTGCCTTAGAATAAATACCATTAAAACAATTACAACCCCACCAGACACTGGTGAGATATAAGACACGTGCCTGCCAGTTGCTGAGTGTGCTTCCTGGAGCCAGGATGCCCAAGGGAAAAGAAGCGTAGCTGTGCTGGACATGCCCCCTGGTGGTTCCCCAAACTACCTATCAGGAAGATCCCTCTGCCGTGCCAGGGAAGGGTACGGGGCCAAGAGAAACCAAGGGTAACAACACTCAGTGAGCCCCATACATGTCAAAGGAAACATCTTCGTATAGTCCCTTTGTGTGGCTCTTTGGCAGTCTGTTAAAACTAAAAATACCCGCATGGAAAGGTCTCCACTAAGCCAAGGGAAAGCATTCCTTTTCCTCTGACCCTTAGCGACAGGCAAGTCAGGAAGGTGTGATTTTGTCTTCATCCTTCAAGTCTGCATTGTGGTGCCTCAAGGGCCTGTGAACATGTCTGATACTTCCACGGGATCCCTGAGGTTCTTTTTCTTCTTGTCTCCCTACCACCTGGCACAGAGTGCAGGCGCAGTCAGCGCTCGCCGAATGAAATGTTGTCATTGGATTCTCTATTCCTATCATTAAATGCTTTGGCGTAAATGCTCATGCGCTTCAGGTCGGGTCCCCTGCTAGGCCTTGTGGGTATAAAAATATGTAAGATACAGTTCTTACCTTCAAGAAGCCCCCAGTGCAAATTAGGAGAAAAGCTGCAGCAGAGCCATAACTGAAAGAGAGGCAAAGGAACATAAGGGGCGAAACAAGGGTGGAAAGATGGTTTGAGATATGAGAAATCAAGGAAGACCTCCTGGAGAAAGTGTCTTTGAGCAGGGACTACAAGGCTGAGGATTTTGCAGGTAGACACGGAGGACAGAGTTCAAGCAGCAGGGACACTCTGGGGCTTGGGTGCATGGAGAATGATGGAAATTTAGAGAGAAGGCTAGGATGTGGACTGGGACCAGATCACAGTGCACTTAGTAGTAGGACATCACATTTGTGAAAAATTGTGGCCTTTCTGAGACACATAACGTCATGCTGGTAAACAACAGAAAGACAAAAGCCTCAAATAACTGGAAAAGGGATGAGTGAAATTAAAACAACAACAACATCAACAACAACAAGATTTAAAAAACTCAAATGTGGGTAAGGGTGTAAGGAAAAAGAGAATCTCACATGCTTCTGTTGGAAGTGTAAATTGGATGGCCTCTTTGGATGGCTCTTTGGCAGTCTCTTAAAGCTAAAAATATCCCTGTTCCAAAATTCCACATGGAAAGAGCTCCACACAATATGGTTGAGTGAAAAAAGCAAGTTGAGAAGTGATACATACAGCCTGGTGCCATTTATGTAAAATAACCACATGGACAAATACATAACACACACCAACTCTATGCTTTCTGTGTGTATGCGTGTGTGTGTGTGTGTGTGTATTTAAAATCTGAAAAAAGACATTTACATATTGTGTGATTTAAAAGTTAGTGGAAAGAGGAAAGTCCAAGGCAGCTCAGGGCTCTGTGATAAGGGGTGGGAGAGAAGGTTGTGTTTGGCAGGGGGATCAGGGTGTTCTCAGTGTCTGTGGCTTTGTTCTGCTGTACAGGGTGACTTCAATTAATGCCTCACTGCCAGGAACAAGGCAGGGCACACGCCATCCTTTGTCCTCATGGTCTGACTTTTCTCTTTTCAGTCCTTGATCAATGTCACCCATGGATCCATGAATTTCTCGGACATTCCTGAGCTCGTGGGGCCTCCGGTTTGTATCTACAGCTGTCCTAGTCTGGTCCCTACCCGGGTGCCCCTGTGTTGAGACAAAGTTGGGTTGGTCTGGGATACTTTTAGCTCTGGAAGCATAGAGCTAGGATATATCAAAGTGGAATGGAAAGAGAGCTTTGCATTTTTGAAAAGTCACTTTCACGTTAACTTGATCATGCGGAAAGTTTTGTCCAATGCAGTGGAAGCTTCCAGTCCTGTGCACCAGAAATATGTGTAATGGAAATCAGAGTATCCTTCGTAACCAACAGATTGACTTCTGAGCAATACTTTTGGCCTGCTTTATTTATATTACCTTCTTTCTTTTTTTTTTTTTTTTTTTTGAGTTGGAGTCTCACTCTATTGCCCAGACTGGAGTGCAGTGGCCGCTTCCGGCCACTGCAGCCTCGACCTGCTGGGCTCCGGTGATCCTTCCACCTCAGCCTTCCAAGTAGCCGGAATTACAGGCATGCACTACCACGCCCGGCTGATTTTTTAATTTATTGTAGAGATGAGGTCTCGCTGCCCAGGCAGGTCTCGAACCCGTGGGCTCAGGCAATCCACTCACCTCAGCCTCCCAAAGGCACGGGATTACAGGCTAAGCCACCGAGCCCAGCTATATTACCTTATTTCACACAACAGGAAGAGACTAGAGAGACCTATCCTTGTGTTCATGGAAAACTGAAGCACAAAGAGGGAATGTGACCCGTTTCAGTGTTTTTTTTAGCCCTGCCTTAGAGATCAGGAAATTAGCACGTCAAGAACTCACGTTATTTCTGCAAGTCCACAGAGTTGGCACTATAGGACCTAAGAGAAAGGAAACTTCCTCCTCTCTTTTGCATCACCCAGTGTCTACTGGCCAGCAAGGGAGAGGGGAAAGAGCTCTGTTTGTTAGGTGGTTTAGTTCTTTGGGAGCCAAGGCTCCAGCCACTTCTCCACCGCAAACCACGCTGAGCCTCTGATTCTGTTCTCTGATAACAACACCTCACTAATCTGTGGGGCAATTCATTAGAGGTGAGGGATGTGACTCTGCTTAGCACACTATGGCTCTCTGTACAGGTCACTGTGGAGACAGAGGCATATGGTTCCGGAACTGTGCGATCCAGATGTCTGCTGGGGCCACTCCCCTGCGGATTCCTATAATCCGTAAATAATCCAGACACCCAGTAATCAAGCCCTAGAGCAAACTAGCTAACAAACAGAAGTCTGTTTACAGAAGGCTTTGCTTTCCCCAAATCACAGGCGGTTTAGGGTATTAGGTGGGTTGATGCTAAAGCAAGACACAGGTAGGCTAAAATCAGAGATTGGGCATCTATGTTCTAACCATCCCTGAGCCTTGTTTGCCTGCATTACCATGTCTCTACCTCTTTCCTCTCTTCCTGCTTTCTTCCCAGTTGCTGTCCTTCCCTTGGGTGAATCCAGACCTTCACGGGGCCCTTTCATCCCTAGTGCTGGGTCAAGCTGCTTCTACTCAGTGGCAATTTCCTCCTGAGAGGCCATCACCCCTGTGCCTTCCTCTCTCTCTCTCTCTCTCTCTCTCTCTCTCTCTTCCTTCCTTCCCTTCTCTCAAACTCTTAAGCCTTTAATAGCTTCAGATATGGGGTTTGTCAGGAAAAAGAGTCCTGGCCCCGTGGGGCGTGAAGCACAAACTATGTCCTGGGTCCTATACAATTCTCACTCTTCCTAAGGGAGGTGAACTGAGTCCCCCCAATATGCCCCTACTTCCTCTTCAACTATCCCAGCCACCTTCGAGCCTACTCCTCAGAGTTCATTTATCAGAGTCCCAGAGGTTTCAAATGTTGACTGGTTTCATGGAGGAGACAGCTGTGATAAAGTACAGCCTTCTGGCTCAGGAAAGTGGGAGCTCTGGGTCCCTGCGTGCAATGTCTGCCTCTAGCACTCATTAACTGTGTGGTTCTGCACGGTTCCTTACCTTCTCAGCCTCCAGCATCCTCTTCTACACAATGGGAGGGTGAGCCCTACCATGTGGGAACGTGCTCGGGCCTTTGGAAGGTTCTGGGAGGGAGTGGACCCTTGAGGCGTGGTGTGAGCCACTGAGCCACAGTGTTCCTGCTCACTCTGGAAATGCTGCTCCTAATCCAGCCTGCTTTGCCTTTGGTGTGTCACAGGGGCCAGACGGGATACCTGGACTGCCAGGATTTCCAGTAAGTACCACCATAGCCATCTTCCATGTGTGCCCCATGGCTGCGCTCATTCTGTTCCTTCTACCTGTAATGGTGTTTCCTTCAACTCTGCAGGATCAGGCTGTCTGCCATCTTGTTCCTTCACTCTTTCTTGCTGCCCCCGCCTGGATGTGTCCCTTTCTTTAAGTCTTAGGGCTTTATTTTCACTGCTCTTGTGTTTCTTTTCCGCCCTAAGCAACAGTTATGTGTGCCTTTGTCTTTTCTTTCTTGCCTGTTCTATGAACAACTTGTGGAGGGGTGGGTCTTACTCATCTCTCTTTACCCAGGACCACCCAAAGCTCGAATCAGTTGGCTTGCTGTGAATGTGAGTGGATGAGTCAAGCACTTCAAATAGATACAGTCCCTACAGAGATAGAATGGGGTAATGGAGGGTGGAGGAGGCGGGAGGCTATGGATTCGAAGTCTAATGATTAATAGTCTGTGTGCATGACAATGGGGCTTGTGCCATGGAAGATGAAGATGCGTTTCTGTGTGGAAAGTGATTTGTTTTGTCTAAAAGTTGGAGCTTGGGCTGAAGCCGAAGGCCTGGCTTAAGGGTGGAAACCTGCATGATTTTTCTAAGACACTGCAGCTCTAAAAGGCCTAATGCTAACTGATGACATGCACTGCTTCTAGGTAAATGAAGGAAATTGGTCAAAAATGTAATGGAAATTTGTTTCTAATAGTGGAATAAGTGGTCTCTTTTTCTATATCTTTACAATTTGTTGAACTTTTTACATACTCTGAAGTAGCATATCCAATGTGGGCACTAGAGGTACATGTTAACTAAAAATGGAAGCATCGTGGCCACAAGAAGACCTTGGTTAGCAGGACAAAACGCCAGACCTCTGAGCTCCAGCTCTGGCTTGGCTGCTCCAAGAGCTGCAGCACATTCCAGAACACATTCTCTTCCAAATGGTTCTGTGTTCCTCTGGGTCCCTGGGTGCAGTTTCTGCCTGTAGCACTCACTAGCTGTGTGGTTCTGTGTAGTTTCTTCCCCTCCCAGGCCTCAGTATACTCCTCTGCCCACGGGATGGTGAGCCCTGCCATGTGGGATCGTGCTTAGGCCTTTGGAAGGTTCTGAGAGGCACTGAGTGAGCGGGGAGTGAGGAGGGGGTGAAACAGGCAGATTCCAGGGCCTCAACCTTCTATAAGGGAGGCTCCCTTTGACGTATTTTATATATTGGGCTTTCATTTAAGACTTTACTTGAGGAAAAAAAGGGGGAGGGGAGAAAAGAGTTACACTGCTGTAATGGGTAACCTCACCCTTTCACCCAGGAGGCAAGACAGGGACTTGTGAAAAGTTAAATAGCAAGGAAGTGTTGATTTCAACCTTTTGGGGGGCAGACGGCTGTGTGAGTCATTGTCACAGACAGTCTGTTGAAGTTAAGAAGAGGTCACCTCTAGCCAGGTGTGCAGATTTGACCCTGCAGAGGAGTGGGTGGGCTTTCCTGTGGGGGAGGTGGCAGGAGTGTTGGTGCAGAGGCAGTGGAGGAGTGCACAGAGGCTGGGGGAAAGGAGTCAGCTGGGTGGTGCAGGAGATGAGGTGGTGAGGCCTGACGGGGGTGGGCTGGGTGTCAGGCTATGGGGCATGGGTCCCATCTCATAGGCATTCAGGAGCCAGAGAAAGGGTGGGAGTCATGGAAGGTGGCGGTGGGGGAGGTGGACTGCAGGGTGGCTGAAGGAGCTGTGGGGTGGGTGGAAGCAGCAGGACCAGATAAGAGGCTGTATCAGTGATGCCCAGTTAGAGGAAACCATGTTCAAAGAGACTGGAACCTCCAGGCCTCCTAACACTGAGTGCTATCTTCTTTTCATCAGAACACAATTTATGGACCACTTCAAGCTAAAAAAAAAAAAATAATAGCAAAAATAAAAACGACTAGTCATGACTTACACCTGCCTGGGAAATGGCACTCTCTAGTCTACTTTTAGAAAAAAAAAAATTCGATTGGTTAAAGGATTTTAATTTTAACAAACAATGCAATACCCTGTCATAATTCCTTTCAGGGCCCCAGAGGACCAAAAGGTGACACCGGTGTGCCTGGCTTTCCAGGACTGAAAGGAGAACAGGTAAGAGGGACCCAGGTATTTGAGTGGGATTGGGCACTGAAATGTGATAAACATTTCAGATGGGCTGATGGTAGCCGTTAACGATTTTCCTCTTTAAGATATGATTCACATACCATAAAATCCATCCCTTCAAATTGTATAATTTAGTGATTTTTAGGAGATTCACAGGGTTGTGCAACTATCACCACTATCTAATTCTAGAACATTTTCATCATGCTGGAAAGAAACCACATACTTATTAGCAGTCCCCATCCAGCTGTTAGCTTTTATAATCTCAAGGTTGTTCCATGTGATGAGAAGGTACGCTGTTGGTAGTGACGTTGATTTTTACCATACTTGGGAAGGAGAGCTCAACACTCCTTTGAATGCGATTGTCACATGCACTCTGCTTTGTCTAACCACTCATTGAGCATACTCATTAGAATGTGCACTCTCTGAGGAGAGGCATTCTGCCAGTGTTTTTTATTTCCCCTGTAGCTCCAGTACTAGACAAATGATATCCAATGCTTGTTTTATGAAAAAATACATAGTTAATGATTAGAATGAATGTGAATATATATACATTATAAGTTGGGGCATTCTGCAGCTGGATGACAGATTTTTGGTCCAAAAATCTTTGGAATTAATATTTAGCGTGCAGAGCCCTTTCTGAGAACTTCCGGGGTACAAACCGATCTTTGTACTCCATGTCTGCCTCTTAGAATTAACTTCCCAGTTGGTTTTTATAATAAGGGAGAGAGTGACATCCCTAAACAGATACATTTACTCACCCATCCATTTGTGCACGCATGTACTGATTCTCTAAGGTGTGCCAGCCAGTTTCCGGTACTAGGCACCAGGGATATAGAGACAAGGTATGAAGAAGAGACACACAAAGGGCTGACAGAGTACATACATTGCTGGAATGGAGGTCTGTGCAGAGCTGATGGGAGCATTGTGCAACCCCCTGAGCCGGCCGTGGAGAGTCAAGGACGGTGGATGTGCTCTCCTCTCTCCCTTCTTACAACATTCCAGGTGGCCTCAAGGAGGGGGAGAGAGGTTCCAACATCTAGTGGATCACTGTTCCAGGAGGTGGAGGGCTCAGTGTGCTGGTCAAAGGCTTGGCACTATGTGGGGGTCTGTCTTGGGATGCTTTTGCTGCCACAGGCCTGGGGTGATGGAATGGGACTGGGACAGCTCTGGCTCAGGAGGAGGCCTGGCCAAGCAATAGCAGCCTTGCTTTAAACATTCTGTTTCCTATGTGGCAAGATCAGATGGATCTACAGCCCCTCACCCCCTGCCACCTTGAACGACTGGGACAGGCACCCAGGGGGCTCTGCTTTGGCCATTGCAGCAAATGTTCTTTCTCTTGCTCTGCCTCTAATGCTCTTGTGCTTGCTTCTTCTTACTGCTGGCGTGCTCAGGACTGCCTTTCCTCACCAGTGGAGTGGTAAGATCCAAATACCAGGTGTGGGTTTAGGGGGATGAAGAGAAGAGGCTGCTTGGCTTGCTTTGGTGCCTCTGCCCCGTCTGCTTCTAGGTTGTTGAAAGGAGAATTCCCAGGGCCCGGTGCTGAAGTTGGGACCAAAATCTCAGAGTCATATTTGATCATATAGAGTCATACAGGTTTTTCTACCTGGCTTTGTTCTCTGGATACTTCTCAGAAACCTCCTAGAAACCTGATGAGGATGGGATTGGGGCAGGATCCTGTGTCCTTGCCACCAGGGTACCCATCTCCTATGTCCCAAAGACTAGGATAACTTTGCTTGGCCAAGTAGGTGTCTGAACAGGAGCCTGGAGTTTGGAGGCAAAGTTGATTACGCATGGAGACATGAGACCCCTGTGTTAAGAGACTTCTAGTGTTTATGTCTTTATCTCCTTACTAATTTCAGGTGGGGAAACATCTCAACTTGAGTTGTTAGGAAAGCTAGCTATCAAGAGTTTCCTTGAGGGTGTGGCAAGAGGTAAACCTGACCACATTGGGGCTGGATCCTGGAAGGTTGAGGGTTAGTCTGCAGGTCTGTCACCAGTGGGAGTTTCTGGAGAGGCATGGGAGACCATAGCCTGTGCTCTACAATAGTAACTCTGATGGTACATGGAGGGTATAATTCAGAGAACATTCATTCATTTAGGAGGCTATTGCAATTCTCTAGTGAGAGGTAATATTGGAGCACTGGGGTTAGGGGTGGGATGAAGGGAAGAGAAATACATCATGGTGGTAGGACTGAGAGATTTTTGTGGCAAGGAGGAGGCCTGACTTCATTGAAAGGTTTTCTGAATTACAGGGTGAGAAGGGAGAGCCAGGTGCCATCCTGACGGGGAACGTCCCTCTAGAAAGGCTGATGGGAAAAAAGGTAATTTTGTCACCAGATCCTGAAGGCACATATCTGTTTTGGCTTTCCATCTTTGTTTCTGCCTCAAACAGTGTTTCTCTGAGTGACAAGCATGTATCTTCCTGTTCTAGGGTGAACCTGGAATGCATGGAGCCCCAGGACCAATGGTAAGCCTGAGCATCTTTGAGCTGGCTCTGGATTGTGGTTTGAAGCATTTATCATACTTTGATTTAGTTAGATTTAGTTATCCCAGTTGTGAAAATTTGGAGGTTGTGGCAAAATGTACAAGTATTAGGGTAGACTAATAGCAATTAAATAAAAATCTCAGTGGCTTAACACAATAACAACTTATTTCTCACCTGCAAAGTCCACTGTGGTTGTTCCCACTTGGGCATCTCTCCTCCAGTCAGTGACTCAGGGACCCAGGATGCTTCCCTTCTGTGTCTCTGCCATCTTGTGGACTCAGCGTTGTATTGGTATCTTCTAGTTAGCAGGCTGAGATCAGGGAGGTGGAAGAAACTGTGGAAGATAATGAATATCACTTCTAGCACATTCTGTTGGTCAGAACTCAGATGTCTGGGACCTCTAAATGTAGTTTAGCTAAGTGTCCAGGAAGGAGAGGAGAACCGGATGGTGGGCAGCACTCATAGTTATACCAAGTACCTGCCAGCTAAAGATTACCAGTTGCCCAAGCAACCTCTCAAAGGAACCCCACAAAATCTCTCCAGGCTTTTTGAGTTCTGGTTCTGAATCTGCTACTCATTTGCTGTGAGACCTTGAGCAAGCCCCTTCTGTCTCTGGGCTTCCATTTTCCATCTGTATGTCGAAGGGATTGAATTAGTACTAGCTGACGTTAGGGCCCTCTGGCCTTACTGTTCTAGGACTCTATAACCCCTTTGGGCTTCTGAACGGTTTTCATCACTACCATTTCTCTCAAGGATGAAAATTAAACTTCCCTGTCATATATTCATCCCCAAAGATCAAAGAAAGTTCAGGTGTAGAATGTCCACTATGGCTCATACACTGTACCAATATTTTGCATAGGTCATCTCATTTCATGCTCACAACCCCAAGAGGTAAATATGAGAACCTCTATTTTATTTTATTTTTTGAGTTGGGAGTCTCACTCTGTTATCCAGGCTGGAGTGCAGTGGCATGATTACAGTTCTCCACAGCCTCGATCTCCTGAATTCAGGTAATCCTTCTGCCTTAGCCTCCCGAGTAACTGGGATGACAGGCATGTGCCACCACACATGGCTAATTTTGTAAAATATTTGTAGAGATGAGGTCTCGCTTTGTTGTCTAGGTTGGTCTTGAATTCCTGGGTTCAAGACTCAGGCCTCCTTGGGCCTCCTTGAGTCTCCCAAAGTGCTGGGATTACAAGCGTGAGCCACTGTGCCTGGCCTTAGACTCTATTTTATAGATGAGGAAACAAAGGCTCAAAGAGGTTGTCTCCCACGATTACAAGCGTGAACCACTGTGCCTGGCCTCAGCCTCTATTTTATAAATGAGGAAACAAAGGCTCAAAGAGGTTAAGTCTCCCACCCACTGTCACACAGTTGGTAAGAGGCAGGGTAGGGATTTGGGGCTCGTCAGACTCTAGGTTCAGGCTCTTTCCACCATATCCCACAGCCTCCAATGAACAAGCTGCCCTTGGCTCTTTGGAAGCATTTTGGGCTGGAGAATTGCAAGTAGGCTTGTTTGGTTGAAGTTAGATCTCAGGCCTGGGGACAAATAACCTCACATTTCTGTAAGACATGTGTTCCTGGTGAATGGCCCGTAACCTCCAAGGTGCATCCTTTAAAAGACCTTCTGAACCCTTAGGTCCCTTAAGTCAGACAGAACGGACACCTTGGAGTGGGGTAGCATATTAGCATTGTCAGCCAAGTAGTCTGTAACCCAGACCCCAGAAGGCAGGAGGGTTCCTGAAGGAGGATGTAACAGAACAGTGACTCTAGAAGCATGTGGACCTGGAAAGCCAGCACTGAAATAGGGCTCATGATCAGGGAGTTAGCTGGTAGACTGGGGAGCCAGGCCAAGACTCTGCTCCCTAGGGACAGATCAGAACTAGGCAGGAACTAAATCCCGAAGCAGGTTATGAGGCAAGGCTGGCCTGCGGGGTGAGGCAGGCTTGCATTATTCAGAACAGGAGTTGTGGTGAATTCTGGAACATAAGACTTAGGGCATCTGAGGCTAACTGCGAGCCGAGGCCCTGAGCTACTGACCTCTTGCTCCTTGATTGGCCCTGATGGTGAGGGACTGGGTCCAGAGTATGGGATAGACTAGAGCCTGTAAGCAAGTGGGTCTTGGGAAGGGTTGAGCAACTGCTTCTAGCTGAGAGCAGAGAGGCGGAAGGCAAGAAACTGGGCAAGTGGATACTTCATCATTGCTCCTTGCCCTCCTTTTACCTGCCAGGTGGTCCATCGCTGCCACTGTCCACAATCACAGGCCAGCACCCCTCAGGTCCCTGAACCCAAAATCACTGTGCTTTTTTGATCTATGTTTGTTTTGCCTCTAGGGGCCCAAAGGACCACCAGGACACAAAGGAGAATTTGGCCTCCCTGGACGACCTGTAGGTATCAGTGTTTCTCAGACAGGAAGTCAGGGGAGGGCTGGTGATCCAGGCTGACCTATGGGAAGTAAGCTTACTAAGGTGTCCCCTGTGGGTTCTAGGGTCGCCCAGGACTGAATGGCCCGAAGGGTGCCAAAGGAGACCGAGGCCTCATGATGCCGGTGAGTCACCTGGGGATGGAGCCAGAGACTGGTGTCCTGAGGGGTGAGACTGCTGGGTCCAGTGAGTGGGACTTGCAGACTGAATGTTTAGGATGCTGTGCTTCTTCCACCGCCGCTTCTGAGGGTCCTCCCACCTTTCTCTGTCCCCTGGCTCACTCTCAGGAGGGTCCCTGCCACGTAAAGCTCCTGAGTGGGCCATAGGCTTCCTCATGCAGATCCCAGAGGGAGAGAGGGGAAAATCCACTGGGCCTGTGCAGAAAAACGTGGCTCCAAATCCCAGGGTTTCAGACTCTAGGGTAATGCCCCCTCTTCCCTCCTTCATACAGTCCCAGGGATTGCTCATATCACCAGGGGCTCAGGAAGTGCTGTGAGTCACTATGAGAGGCAGATCAGTACTTGGGTAGGTAGGATTTCACAGGATGGTAAACACAGGGACAGCAGCAGGGTCCAGGGCCTAGGAGAAGGAAGCCCAATGTTACTGAGCAACTGCTGTGTACCAGACACTGCAAAGTGCTTTTGAGGACAGTATCTCAAACTCCTGGCCTCCAGTGATCCTCTCATCTCCGCCTCCCAAAGTGCTGGGATTACAAGCATGAGCCACTGTGCCCAGCATGGATAGTATCTCATTTAGTCTTAGTCTATCGCACAAGACACAAGAGGAAACTGGGGACTGTAGAAGTCAAGGCATCCATCCAATAAGCACCAAACCGAGGTGCGAACCCCACTCTAAGTCTATTGCTGCTTCTGTTTGTGCTACTCTGTCTCCGCTTTGTATGTCCAGAAATCTGGAAATAAAATTTTACCAAAACATTAGAGGCCTGACTCCCACTTGCCAGCCCACTGGAACTGGTGGGTATCCCAGACACTGATGCCTTCCTTTAGAGACTTCAGCATGGCTTCTGCATGGGCTGAACTTCCCATGCCTTCCCTCAGAGCCTCACCTCTCCTGCTGCAGGGTCCTGCCTCTAGGCTTGGGGAGAAAGCACTGTGTGATATTAAGGCCAGGCTGAACACATGGTGAGGTCAGGGATGTAGACGTGCTCTGTGGAAGGGACTGGCCTACCTGAGGGAGAAGTTGGTTGATTTCAGAAGACCCTCCTTTCCTGCTGAATTCCCAAGCCCTGGGGGAAGTGTCCTGTGGCTGCCCTTATCCTCACAACAACCTGAACTCAGGAACAGCCTTTCTTTTCTCCCTTCAGGGCCCACCTGGCTTACCTGGTCCTCCGGGCCCCCCTGGGTCCCCTGGAGCTGTGGTTAACATCAAAGGTGTAAGTTGGCATGCGGGGGGAGCTTCATGGGGCAGTGGGCACATGTCCAGCTTTAGCTGGAGTCAGGTGTCCTGATGGCCTTGCTATTCTTGTTCTCGTTACCCACAGGTTGTGTTCCCAATCCCTGCCCGGCCACACTGCAAAATGCCAGTAAGTAGCAACCACTTCCTTAAAGAACAGACTTGGACATAGATACCAACTCAAAGAAAAAGATTCGTCTTTGTCTAGGGCCCCTTCTATCTACAGACATGCTCTTTGATGTCTCCTGTCACCTACGTGTAAACCCTTAAGTGACTAGAAGCTTCTAGATCACAGATCCTGACAATGAAATATACTGGATCTTCTAAGGGTGCACACACTGGTAGGGTGCTTCTTTTAATACAATCAAAATTGAGCCCAGGAGTTCAAGACCAGCCTGGGCAACACAGCGAGACCTCAAGACTCATTGCTACAAAAATAAAAAAAATTAGTTGGGCATGGCGGTGCATGCCGGTAGTCTCAGCTACTCCAGAGACTGAAGTGTAAAAACCCCAGGAGGCTGAGGCTACAGTGAGCCGTGATCATGTCACTGCACTCCAGCCTGGGTGATAGAGTGAGACTCTGACTCAAAATAAATAAATAAATAAAAAGAGCAATGCTTTTGTTATTGTGACTACATTAGCTTGATACTTAGAGCAATATGAAATTGGGGGAAATAGACCCCTTAAAAGCATAGGTGAGAAAAAAAGCAATACCAGCCCGTGATCTTTGTACTGGGAACTTTGGGCTAAAATCTGTTACTAACTATGCTCTGTCCTTTCCCAATGATCATGTTACTGCACAGCACACAACGCTGACAGGCAAGGATTATCTCTCCCACTTTATAATAAGGAAACAAACTGTGACTCAGAGAAGCTCACTGGCTTGTCCAAGGTCACGGGACGTAACTGAGTTGGGACCATAACTCAGGTCTCCTGACCACCAGGCAGCAGGTGCAGACACTATGATTCCGAGGGGCCAGCCCGGTCCCCCGTCAGTGTGGTTTCATCCATATTAAGAGAGTCATATTTCTGTGGGGAAACCCTGGGAGGGTGGGCCCCATGCACAGGCGTTAGTCACAGAACTGTGCGTGCTCATTCTCTCATGCATTCAACAAATAGTTTTTGAGCACTCCCCAAGTGCTGAGTTCTCTGCTAGGCCCTGGGGACACAGGGGTGAACCAGACAGGCGTGGTCTCTATTCTCGCGAGCTTGCAAATTACAATTTAGAAATTTTCCTTGGAGCGGGTTCATAATTGATGCCTGCAGGAGGTGGTGATGAGGCTTGAGTCAGAGGCTTTACAATGACGCAGGTCGGCTGAGTGTTTGCCCAGACATCTGTCTGTGTCGAAACTTTGAGGATCAGAGCCTGCAGCCCAGGGCCCGGGGAACTCTGGGCTGAAAGGCAGAGGGCAGTACCCACCGATGTAAGGTGACTAAGAGATCTGCTGGCTCCAAGCTCTGTGTGAGAACACAGCAACCCAGTATATGTTTGTGTCAATGGCCTGAAGGGAAGCATAAAAAGTCAGTGCTGGAGCCACCCTCCCGAGAGATCCTGCATCCCACTGCATCATACAGAAGGAGAGCCCACAGCCCAGAGTGCAAAGGGTTGGCTGCCAGTCCCACAGCGAGGTACTGCCAGAAGCCCCTCCCAGCTATCATGGTAGGTTCCAAATGGGCCAGCCGTGGGACAGCACTTGGCAAACTTTAGAGTGCTGTGCAAATGCTACTGAATTACCATGACCTGCGCTGAGATCTCTTGCAATAACCATGGCCTATGGGGAGTCATGGGGTAACCTAAAACAAGCCAAAGATAGGCTCAGCATTTTTGGTGACTTTTTTACTTCATGTTGCCTGGCTGGACACCATGGGGTGCTTGGGCACAGATGGTTCCTGACCGGCTCTCAAAATGGATGTCTTAAAACAGAAAAACTTCCTCTCGCATCCAGCACCTCACAAGCACCTTCTAGTTTCAGCTCCTCCAACACCGTAACAATGTTTATCTCTTGCCTGCAGTGGAGGAACTTTATCAGCATAGCCGCAAGATAACAATAGCCTGGCACTGCAACCTTCATCCCTTACATTAGAAATGTTTTTCCTGGAAGATTCTGTCCCCTCCCCGACCCTTGTTCGGTGACCCCTGAGCAGTTTGTGACCCTCCACCCACAAGCATGGAGGGATCCTGGCGCCAGATGGATTACTTTGATGCCACTATCAACTGAGGAAAAGTCAGGTTGCAGGTGGCTTTGACTGAATAGATAAGAAGATGCAGGGATCTGGGATGGAATATTACCTAGAGCAGCTTGGACTCCAGACCCCTGGCACTTAATGGGGAGTCTACAATACGATAGCTCCCTTTACTATTTACCACTACTGCCAGCTCCTGTTCATTACACTCATCTTTGATTAGGCACAACAGCTAATGGCTTGCCCAGCTTCTTATTTGGAGGCCTCACCTCTCACATGAATCTGCCCCAAGTGAGAAGAAAGGCCAAGAGTGCCCATAGTTGGTCAAACCAACACTGCTGTGATCTGTTGTCTTAAAGCTTTGGGCCTCCCCTTTGCTGAGTTTTGTTTTGTATTTTTTTACATTTCAACCTTTTTTTTGAGTCAGTCTCATTCTGTCGCCCAGGCTGGAGTGAGTGGCCAATCATGATTCACTACAGCCTGGGACCTCCTGAGCTCAGGCGATCCTGTCTCAGCCTCCGAAGTAGCTGGGGCTTCCAGTGTGTGCCACCACGCCCACCTGGCTAATTTAAAAACCATTTTTTTTTGTACAGACAAAGTCTCACTATGTTACCCGGGCTGGTCTCTAGCTCCTGGCCTCCAGCAATCCTCCTGCCTCAGCCTTCCACAGTGCTGGGATTACAGGCATGAGCCACTGCACCCAGCCTGTGCTGAGTTTTTCAGCCAGTGGGCTCTGTTCTGTCTCTGTGCTGAGCCTCTCAATGGAAAGCCTAGGATGTCTGTGTCTTCAGACTACTACAGAACTCATGACTTCTAGGGGCTCCAGAGCCAAAGGAAGGCTGGCCTTTGTGACATTGCCTCTTCTGCCACATACCCCTGGGACAGTTGCTGCCTGTGCATGCAAGCCAGGGCAGGGTTTGTAATGTCTGAGCTTGTTCCCCTCTCTTTACAGGTTGGTACCCCAAATCCTGGGAGTCCAGAGCTCATCACCTTTCATGGTACTATTTCCTTCTTTACTATGTGTTTCTCTGGGACATCTCCACACCCTGGTAGCACTGAGGAACACAGTTTCCCTTTGTCCTATGCTGGGCACAGATGAGGTGGCCAGGAAGGTCTGACTGTGGTGGACAGGTTGGGGGCAGGGCCAGGGGGTAGAGACAACTCAGCTACGGCTGTGAGGCTGGATACCTCTGTTTGGTTTGGTCACATATCTGTCTATTCTGCCCACCTTGGCTGAGCCTCCTAGTTAGCAGGAAGCACTCCATTTGTTCATTCATTTGTTCCTAATTGCTTTGTAAGATCCCATGCACTGGGCTGAGTCAGATACATCCTGTACTATTCGTGAAGAAATTATTTAAAAACCAATAGTGCAATATACCAAGAGCTAATCCAGGGAAGGGTGAGCCGGTCATCCTCCCACTTCCTTGTGTGTGGTTACTATGCTTCTGTTGGTGCTGGCACGCTCGCTGTCTTCTTATCTGATTGCTGCTGTCTGTGGTCTAGTGTGGGTGGTAGAGGCCCTGGTTCTCGGTCTCATGCAGCAGCCCCAGCATTGGTGAGGCCTCACAAGATGTGGTTGCATCTCTCTGCTGACTCCCAGCTGGCACTCTTGTGCTTCTGATGCTCACATTCCTTCCCCCACACTGGGGTAGCCTGGGCCTCCAAACCTCATCTCCACTTTGTGTCCCCATCTCTAGCCCCAAGAGCATTGGTGAGTTGACCCGCCATACCTCTTGGAACCAGGAATTCAAAGGCCTAGTGTCCACCCCCCCCCCACTGAGATGGGGAAAGGGAGCTGCTTCTGTTCTCAAACACTGATATTCCATGCCTTCCGTGCCCCCCTCCCATATAAAAAGTTGGAGAAGGTGTGTCACTGCACAGTGAGTGTTCTCCCAATTTTGAAAGTAGAATACTTAGCACCCTTAGTTGTCCTGTGTGGGCACTCCTGAGGGATTCTGCTCCTCTCCTTACACCACTGTGCTGCACAGGCCAGGTTGAGATGAGGCTGGTAGATTGGACCTGCACTGAGCCTCCGTCTACCTTCATGAAACCATCCAAGGAGAGTGAGTTGTAGCCTCTTCTGGGCTCTCGTGATACACTGCTGGAATCTTAACAATGGCACGCATTTCATCTCACCTTGCGTTACTGTGATCTGTGTCTGCCTCCCTAGTAGACTAAGCTTTTCAAGGTTGAGAATGTGTCTGAAGACCTCTGCCCTCATCATCATTTAGCAAAAGATTTTAGACTCACCAATTTCTCAGTAGGCCTTCGTTGGTTTGGGTAGACTGCTACAGGAGCTCCGTTTGAACACTTCTCTTAGAAAGGTTTCGTATGGAATGAAGGTTTTCCACTTTTTTTTTAACATATATGTCTTTGGCGGCAGGTATTAAAGGAGAGAAAGGATCTTGGGGTCTTCCCGGCTCAAAAGGAGAAAAAGGCGACCAGGGGGCCCAAGGACCACCAGGTATCCCTGCTCTTGTTCTAGATCCCTCCTTTGCTCTTGCTCCTGAGAAATGCCATGAAGTCAGAGAGTAAGACTGATTACATTACCACCCTGACCACAAGCTCCACTGCCAGTCATGGGCCTGGCATGTCCAAGATGGAAAATTGTCAAGAGAGACCAGAAGTTCCGATTGTTCATGTTTCATATGCAAAGCAAGGCCCAGAGAGGGCCAGAGTCTTGCCCCGGACCTCGCACTGCCTGTGTTGCTGGGCCTGTGCTGTGCCTGTTTCTGTCTCCAGGCACTCTCTTAACTAACCCAATCCAGGGTCACTTCCACTAGGAGGTAACCGTGGTTGCCGACTTGGAGACTTCTATTTTTACATTTCTGAAATAATGATTGTAAATTTTATGAAGGATTTCTTTTTCAGGTCCCTCAGTTGATGCAGCTTATCTGAGACATTTTCTGAACAACTTGAAGGTGAGTATTTCTCTCCTAAGCGTTTGACCTGTGTTTCCAATTTCTTGGGTTTATGTCAGAGGCCAAGTTCATTCCAGTGTTACAGAAATATTCCCATGTTCTCTGCTTCCAGGGGGAGAATGGAGACAGGGGGTTCAAAGGAGAAAAAGGAGACTCTAATGGTGACTTCTTTGTGTCTGGACTTCCAGGCCTATTAGGAAATCCAGGCCCGAGTGTGAGTAGTGATCGTTCCACGTCATCTTTCCCAAGGACTTATGGCTTTCCCTGAAGCCCCCAGTGGCCTTTGGAGAGTCAAGGGCCAGTCATAGTATTGCAAGCTGGAGGCAGGACTTGAGATCAGTCAGCTCTCCCTCCATACTTATTGATTGATGGAGAGGATGGCACAGAGGGAAGAGAGCTGGTCAAGGCCATATGCAGCGATGCCACTTTCAGGCCACTAGCCACATGCCTTATTCATGTAAATGGTGGGAAATTCGCTGAACACAGAGAACTATTAATGATGGTGAATTTGTCAGTAATGGAGGTAGAAAGGAAGGTGAGGGAGATATTTTTAGAGGAGCTATTGGATTTTTCTAAAATTTTATTCAAGAAGGAACTTCGAGATAGGTGTGATCTTCCTAGGCTGAGAGGCTTTTCCAGGTCACAAGAGAAAAAAATCAAGCTATGTCCCCAACAAGAATATGACCAGACCAGCTCATTGACCTTCGGTCCCAGAGCTCACCATGAGGGTAGAACCAGCAAAACCAGAGATCAGGGTTCTACTTCTAGCTGTGCCTCTGATTTGCTTTGTGATCTTGGGCAAGTCCTTTCCCTCCTCTCGGCCTCAGTTTTTTCATCTCAGTTTTCTTTATAATGCAAAGGCTAGACTAGATTATCTCTGGAGACCCTTCTACCTCCAGGGCTCTCTGGGGTTCTCTATAGTGCCATTCTATATAACTGGGTGCTGACATCAGGTCTTACCTCACCTTGAATTGTGCCCAGGATTGAGGAGAATAATAATGATAGCCTGTATCTATTGGCTTCTTTAAAATATCCTCATAAAAGGAATAGATGAGACTTGTAGTAATGAATGGTGCTTTCTCTCCTCTGTTCCTGTGCACTTACCTTGATAGGGCCATGAAGGGGAGACTGTCATCGGGCCCCAAGGACCCCCGGGTGCTCCTGGCCTGCCTGGGCCACCTGGCTTTGGAAGACCTGGTGCCCCTGGGCCACCGGGACCCCCGGGACCACCAGGACCTCCGGCTATCCTGGGAGCAGGTTAGTACTATGAGCAGTGGTCTCATCCATGCAGCCCATACCATCGCGTTCTGGGTCCCTGCATCTGGGTAATGTGTCACAGTCACGCTGACAGAGGTCTGTTTCCTGGGTGGAGTCTTCTTTTTTGTTTTTTAAAATTGGAATGTAATTTATACATCATAGCATTTACCCATTTAAAGCGTATGGTTCAGTGGTTTCAAATATAGTCACAGGTCATGCAGCCATCATGGCTGTCTAATTCTAGAACATTTTCATCACACCAGAAAGAAATTTTGTACCAGTTAGCAGTCACTCTCTTTTCTCCCTTCCCCTCTCCTCCCCCAGATCTTGACAACCTCCAATTTACTTTCATTCTCTGAATTTGCTTATTCTGGACATTTCATATAAATTGAATCATACAATAGAAAGCCCTCTGTTTCTGGTTTCTTTCACTTATCCTAATATTTTTAAGGTTCATGTTGTGCATGTATCAGTGCTTTTTGATTTTTTGTGCCCAAATTAAATGTTATTATATGGATACTCATTTTGTTTATTCATTCACTTATTCATGGACATTTGAATTGTTTTTACTTTTTGGTCATTATGAATAATGCCGCTTTGAAGTTTTTGTGTAGACATTTGTTTTCAGTTCTCTTCAATTTATACCTAGGAGAAATTACTGGGTCACATGGTAACTCTATGTTTAACTTTTTGAAGAACTGTCAGACTTTTCCAAAGGAGTCACAACATTTTGCATTCCTACCAGCAATGTGTGAGGATTCTAATTTCTCCTTGTTTTTTACTCACACTTGTTATTATTGTATCTTTATTATGCTTTTTGATTATAGCCATCCTAATGGGTTGAGGTGATATCTCATTGTGGTTTTGGTTTGCATTTCTCTAATGTGTAATGATGTTGAGCATCTTTTCATGTGTGAGTGGAAACTTTCTTCCTGTTCTGTCAATACCTCAGGGACTTGAGAACCTGCCTTAAGTGAAAATCTGTTCACCTTTTGGACCCTCACTTCCTCAAATGCAAAATGGGTTACATTAAAGAAGATCTCCATGCATTGAGCATCTACCACGTGCCAGGCATTTTGCTAATCACTTCAGTGTTTTATTGAATCCGCACAACACTTCGAGAAATGTATTAGCATTAGCACCCCCATTTTACAGTGGAAGAAAATGAGACTCAGAGACATTTAGTAACTTGTTCCCGATCACACAGCCAGTAAGTGGCATCAACAAGATTAGGACCCAGATCAGTGTAGATTCAAAGCCTGTTTCCACTAGGCCCATGGTGGAAGATAATAATAGTAGTAATACTTTTTTGTTGTTTGGGTTGGTATGAGCCAGGTATGGTAGAAGCCCACCTGGGAAGAGACCTACAGAGTATGGAGTGTCAAGGAGAGATTTATACAGGATGTGACTTTTGGGCTGAATCTTTGGCCTAGCCTTTAATCTCTCGGCTGTAAGTGACAAAAACATAACTCAAAGTGGCTCAAGCAGAAGGGAAAATGATTGGATGTGAAGGAGGGAGCGGGCAATCAATTTGTGGGAGGACAGACATGCAGCTGGGCCTCAGAACCAAGGACTCAACCTCTGCAATGATTCTTTGGCCATCTCTTGCCTTGACTTCTCTCTAGGACAACTTCATGCTTTCTCACCACAGACCACATCCTCTGCACAGTGGGAAATATGGTTACAGACAACTTACAGCCTCCACTGCCAGCTAAAAATCTTGACCTCCTTCTCAATTTTAGTTTGAAAAGTCATGGGGTGAGGCAGGTCCCAGGAAAGGATTCTGATTGGCCTGTCTTGGGCCAGATACCTAGCTTTGGACCTATGGAAGTATGATGGCCAGGAGGTAGGATCATATGAGACCATGGTAGCTCTTTCTGGAACCAATGGTTGAAGAAGTGAAGAGACAGATCCCAAAAGAAGGAGATAAGGATACTGGTTCTGCAAAGGAAGACAGTACTAGGTAGATAAAACTCAGGATTTTAGCCTTGAGGGATGGGTAGGATTCCAGGAGGTGGAGGCACATTACAGGGTGAACTCAAGATACAGAGCCAAGAGCTTTGCAGATTTTGCGAGGTGGGAGGGGACAGAAGATTAGAGAGTCAGAAGAAGAGCAAAGGAATATTTGTAATAATATTGCATTATGTTTGTCTAAAGTAAGGGCCTTTCTATTGGGGAATCATGAACTCCCAGGAATTCAAGGACATACTTCTGGGATCTGTCACCCTGGTCATACTTTTTATAGAATTATCTGTGTGCATTTTTCTGGGGAAGAGGGTAATAGTTGTAATCTGATTTTAAGAACATTGTGACTCTTCAAAAGCTAAGAACCTGGTCAAATGCTGGACATGTACAATCTGCAAAGCCCTGAGTTCTCACTGTAGCCCCATGAAGAGGAAAGGTCTGTTTACATTTTGCAGACGAGGAAATGGATTCAGAGGGATTGCTGTTGCCTCAAGATCACACAGCTGGGAATTGACAAATCAGGGACTTAAGTCCATGTCTCTGTCCCCAAGACCAGGGCTGCTGTCTCTGCGCCAGCCTGGCCTCCTTCCACTGCCTGGCACCTTCTCTTCCTCTTTCCGAGCTTGCTTCCTCTGTTCAGTGGTCACATGCTTGTCTCTTGGGTGAAGTAAGTTGTGTCAGTCAGGATATTTTTGAATGCAAGGGACAAACAATACAACTTAAACTGACTTTTGCAAGCAACTCCAACAAAAGGAATTTATTCACTCATAAAATTTATTCACTCATAAAAAGTCCTAGGTATGGTTTGACGGGGCAGGGCAACAACCAAGAATCCTAGCTCTTCCCTGAACCAGTCCCTGTGACCTAAGTCATATACTGGGTCCAGGACACCCAGGATGCAGTTGCAAGTCTGGATACTTTGAGGCACTGTGAGAGGGGTTGTAAACACTTCTGTCAGGTGATCTGCTGACCCTTGAGGCATTTTTCAGAGATTTTCTTTTTTAGACTTCTCTTTTCTGCTTTGTCTTAGCTGTGGCCCTTCCAGGCCCACCTGGCCCTCCAGGACAGCCAGGACTTCCCGGATCCAGAAACTTGGTCAGTATCATTAACACTGTGTAGTCATCATCCCGCATGAATGGATTTACTTAAAACTCTGGCTACGTTGTTTAGGGCTGAAATCATTTGAGAACTAGGCTTTAGTGACAGTAGGACTGGTGCAATTCCACAAACAGTAGAAAGAATTTATAATCTTTTTGAATAATTGATTGAGTAAAAAGACATGAAAAACAAAATCATTTATTACTTAAGTTCCACTGTTCGAATTCTTAATTGACTAAGCCATAACAAGAACCAACCATAATATCTCAAAAAACATCAACCCAAGAGTATAAACACCATCATAACAGGTCCTTGTGCTGGTCAGATTTACCCTGGGTAATTCTGCCTTCTCTATTCTGCCAAAGAATGTCTCTCGTACATTCCTTGCTCTGCAGTTCATTGGAACTGGGAACAGCGCTCCAAGATTATTATAATTCACAAAAGATGGGCAAATACCTCACAAGGATGTCAGGAGTCCTTCAGAATGCTCTTTGATCTTTGCTGAGTTTTAGTTGGAAAATTTGGCTGCCAAAAGAAAGAACCATCCAGCAGATGATGGAATTTGGATATTTGGTTCCTTTGGGGGAATACTAAGCCATTTTGATACACAAAGCTATTATCCCAAGGCGAGGTGAAAATTAATCTTCTATTATCTTTCTCAGTTAAAATGAAAAATAAAAACTCTCTTGGCTGATTTTTTTTTGAGATTTCATACTACTCAATAGATTTTTGCAACTTCTGTATTTGCTTCTAGATATGCCAAATGGCTGTCTAATCTTTGGCAGTTTTCTAGACAGTCATTTTATAGACCACCATTTTCTGTCATGTATTTAATATTATGACTATCCAGCTAGACAAATAAAATTTAAGAACTAATTATAGTTACTCTCTTGCTTGCATTTCTTATCTTAAATGAAAACAAATTTGAAACTTTTCAAGAAGCAGCATGAAGTAACACCACTTAATGTTAGTGCCACCGGCAACTTAAAAAAATAGAAATAGCAAAACTTACCAATGATTTTTGAATACCAAAACCCAATAAAGACAATTCTGCTGACAATTTTTAAATGTCTTCGTACTCACAGAACATTATCTTTTTTAAAATGTATGTATTATCATAATTCAGATCTGTGTCTCAAAGTCATATATGTTTTTGTTTTTATCAGAAAGACTGTCCTTTAATTATTAATGAAGTTCTATATCTCTATATGGCACCATAAGCCTTTTTAGTGAATGCTAGGAAATGGCTTATAATTGGTTTACAGAGAGGCCAATTTACCAAGAGGTGCCACTGCTCCAATGATAACAGTAGTATTTGGAATTTAAATGATCTGACAGGTCACAGCATTCAGCAACATGGATGACATGCTCCAGAAAGCTCATTTGGTTATAGAAGGAACATTCATCTACCTGCGGGACAGCACTGAGTTTTTCATTCGTGTTAGAGATGGCTGGAAAAAATTACAGGTAACTCCTAAACTTCCTTTAGGAAACTGCCTTCAGATACCCTCTAAAAATAACAATCTACTACTGTAAATGCCATTTTTCTATTTTGAAAATAAGCCACAGTTTCTAGTGGGTGTTTCATTTCAATGTACTGTTTTTCTTAAAGCTGGGAGAGCTGATCCCCATTCCTGCCGACAGCCCTCCACCCCCTGCGCTTTCCAGCAATGTGAGTAGATTCCTTGCCTTGCTGCTGGCTTCTTCATCAGTGTTTCCTCGGTCCCCCTCATATCCAGCACCAAGCTCTCCAAACTCTGGACAGCCAGCTATGCATGGCTTAGTATCTGGTGGGAACAGAAAGTTCTTACAATAGAGTCGAGGGAGAACTGGATCCAGGGACTGGAGCCTTGCTGTTTTCACGTAGTAGCTGAATCCTCCTGGGCAAGGGACTTCCCCCTTCTTGGCCTCAATTTACTCATCTGTGGAGTTGTTGGGTTACATAAGCAATCTTAAAGAGTCCTTCCATTTTTGACACTGCCTGCCTTATAAGAACACGGGCAACTGACATGGTTCAACTTTTAGCTCTATGACAGCCCTTTGAGGCAGGTGCTACCATACCCATTTTGCAGATGATGAGACTGAGAGTTTGAAGAGATGGCTTTCTCTATTAAGGAAAAGAGTTAGCTATTCAACATGGGCTCTGTTTCCTTGATTCAGAGCTCCTTTGAAAAGTCTTGAGAACACACCCTCCCTTTCCGAGAATGACTTTTTCATTTGAGCATGAAACTCTTCACAGTTAAGAGTCACAGTTCAAAACAGTGACACACTATTTAAAGTATCCTCTCAAGAAACATTGCACCTGCACCTCATTGTACTCTGAAGAACCAATTGAATGCATATTCAGAACTGTTTCTTTTCCTCTTCTATGTAACAGCCTCATCAACTTCTGCCTCCACTGAACCCTGTTTCAAGAACCAATTATGAGACACCTGCTGTAAGTACATTTCATGCATTTACTCTGCAAATACTGAATGTGTGTCTACTACGTACTGAACCCTATGCTTAGTACACTGTTCCTACCATTAAGATGCTTACAGACTAGTGAGGGAGACAAAAAAAATAAAGAATTATAATACTGTGTAGTAAATTGTTCGGGTAGAGCAAACTCAAGGTGCAGGGGGTATGAGGCAAGTCAAAGAAGTCTACCTGGAGGAGGTGACCTCTAAACTAAGACCTAAAGTACAGTTGAGTTCAGGAGTGAGCCAGGTGGGAGAAAGAGGGTAGACATTCCAGGCAGAAGGAAGATGGAAAAGAGGAAGGTAAGGGAAAGTGCTGTGCATTCCTAATATTGCAAATATTTCAGTCTGGGCAGAGGAGTAGAGTTCAAGGCAGAAGAGGGAGACAGTTGACAGAAGTCAGCAAGGACCAGGGCTAGGTGTCAAGGGCCTGTACACCAAGCTAAGGACTTTGGCCTTTTCCTGTGGGCACTGGGGAGCTACTGCAGGGCTTAAAGCAGGAGAAGGGCATAATAAGATCAGCATTTCAGAAATTACTGTGGTTACAGTGAGCAAGTGGATCAGAGGAGCCAGGAGCAGGGGTCAGAAGGCCAGCAGGTGGCTCCTGTGTCATCTGAACTAGTATCCCTGCAGTGAGCATGTGAAAAAGCAGGCAGATTGGCGAGACATGAAGGCGGGAGTGGCTAATTTGGTCACTGGTTGGATATGGCCCACTGAGGATGAGAGAGGTCAGGAATGACGCCCAGGTTTCTGCATGGGTGACTGAATGGTGACAGCTTCCTTTCCGGGAATTATTTCATTGCTGGGATTAGAAACTCTCACTCTATCTTTTTGCTAACTTAAGTCAAGATCTTGTTCAAGTCATTGTAGAAACCTCATGGAACTTAATCTCAAGAAGAACAACCAGGCCTGGGGACTCTTGTCTCTGCCATTGGTCTGCTTTACTATTAATATTAATATATCTACAGACCACCTTCTGCAAGGGTCTTTCTTCCTAGTCCCTTCCACCTCCCACCCCAACACACACACACACGGGTGACATGAGCTTGCACACAGGTTTGGGTTGCCCTGGCACTGATTCTGGCCCCAACTCCATGTGACCTTGCAGCTGCTAAGCCCAATACTACCTGACTCAACTCAGAGTCTTGGGAGAGACAGTCTGTATGGTGCTTCCTGGGTCAATTGCCCACTCTCAGCCCAGTCAAGAGTAGCCAGGAAAATGGTGTTGAAGACCTAAGGCCACTCCTTGTAGCAAGGACTGTGGAAGCACTTTCAAATAACAAGACGCGGGCTTGACAGACACAGGAAGCTTTTCCTATCACGCTGCCATTCACCAAGGGGGATCTCGTTTGGAACATGGTGAGTCTGAGGAGCCTAGAGGAAACCTGAATAGAGACTCTGGAAGGGAATGGGATAGGAAAGCCTGAAACCCCGCTGTGGGATTGGGTCTGAAGATGATTGTTTCGGGGGTGGCAGGATTCCGGAGAGGAAAGCTTAACAGTGAACACGGATTGAACTATGAAGAGCAAAAACAAAAAGGGACTGGTGGGAGAAATATGAGAAGGAAACTGAGAAGCCATAGCCAGAGAGAAAGAAAAAATGCCAAGCAAGGTAGTGGCCAACAGTGTCAAAGGCTGCCAGGAAATCCATAAAAAGAACTAAAAGGTGTCCTTCATATTTAGAAACAGGAGTAAAGCATGCCAGTGGCCGACAAGCTTCTAGTTGCTTGAGAACTCAGTTGGAGGTGAGGGAAGAAAAAAGCGAGTATCAGTGACCCTTCAAGAAGTCTCAAAGTGAGGGCAGTAGCTAAAGGATTTTTTTAAGTGGTATTTTAGCAATTTAAAATTGATACATATTTTTTGTAGAAAGTGTTGACAATGCACAAAAAGAATGCAGAAGAAAATAGTAACTCACCTATCATTTTATCACAACTACAACCATCCCCAAAATAGCCATTAGACATTTTCATTATTGTAGCATATTGTCTTCATTAAAAATGATACACATTCATCATAAAAATGTTCCAGCAATTAGAGAAATACACACGAGAGCACAAAAGCCTCCAATCTTGCCATTCAGAAACAACCAGAATTGTGTTTCTCTGTGTCTCCTTAAAGGACAATGAAAGTGTGTGGAATTAGGAGCATGGTGGGTAGGCGCTGTACTTGCTCCTGTGCTTTTCTTAGCTGGCCCTTGGTCCTGGGGCACCTCGTTCCATCAAGGCCTCTTGGCAGTGCCCTTTGATTTCGCCCCAGAGCCCATAAGACCTCTTCCCTCAGGAGCTAGAGTCTCCAGATGTGTGACAAGGAGGAAGACGAGAGTGGGGCAGTATAGCTAGATGGCAAGGGCATCAGAGGGCCAGAGTATGTGTGTGGAGGCCAAAGTCTGGTGGCCTGCAAGTGATTACGGTGAGTGGGAAGCATGCTAAAGCCCCCTCCCATCCTAAAGCCTGGGACCGTGAACCATAAGATGCTCGCCACTGGGAGGCCTGCTGGGGAAAACTCGGCTGGGTGGAGGACTGGGTAGGAGGTAGGACATGATGCTGCTTGATCTGGATTTGTCTAGCATGGGAATCAAAGCAGAACCAGGGATTAATAAAAAGAGAGAGACTGGAGGAGGTGGCAGACTTGGTGTCTGTCTTTGCAGAATGGAAGGAAAGGAGTTGTAAATGGAAGAAAATGTACAGAGAAGTCTAGATGCTGTAGCTCATGGCTAGCTGTAACCAACTGGCTGGAAATTTAAAAAACAGAAGACCAACACAGCAGCCCTGAGTGCTGGGACACACAGAGGCTTTGTTTAGGTCTGAGAGACCTAGAGAAACTGGGAGAGAAACACCAGTTACCTTCTGCCCTACTGCATGGGGCTCAATTTGTGTTTTTTGGCTTAAGATATTTAAACATATTTTGCTTTTTTGGCAACTTAGACCCAGGTCTTGCACTAGCCCTCCCCAGCTCTAAGATGATAAGGTAAAAGTTATCCTTGAGGTGAAATTGAAGTGGGGGGATGAGTGTCCTTGATTATGGAATGCATTCCACTGGGTATGGCAGAAGGGGCTGGGAGAATGGGCAGTAGAGAAAGGCTAGGTTTTGGAAGAGAAAGTGTGGGAGAAACAAACTAGGGAATGGCTTTTATTTTGGCCGATGACCAAGATGGCAGAGATGTGAGGTTAGAATTACTATAAATCCCCTAGTTTCCAACTGAGTCTTTCTCAGCAGTCTAAGTCACAGATGTCATGTCTTTCTCATTCCGATGCTTTTTCTCCAGGTCCCTTGTGTTACCAGCCCCAGGTCTAGTTAGGAGATGGGTGGAGGGCAGTGGGAAGATAGCTTAGAGTCCCTGGGATCCAGGACTAAAGCCAGATTAAAACCCCTGCTGGACGCTGAGCTGGGCAGACCCAGAAGTCTCAAACATACAGCCTGCAGGCTGGATGCAGATTAATTAATAAAGTGCTTTTTTAATCTGAGTATTTTCTGTTTTAGTGCTTTTCAGGGAGCTGAAACCGACTGCTTGGGAGACCATAACCTTGCCCAGAAATGGTCAAGCAGAGACCGTGATTCTAATGTCAGGGAGAGGTTGAAGAATATGACTTCAACACGCCTTCCAACCAGTTCCTGGGATCTTCTCAGGAACATGAGATGTTTATGAGGTTGCAGTTTGCCTTTGATTTTAACTGCACTCTCTTTTTTTCTCATTCTTTTCAGCTGCACTTGGTTGCTCTGAACATGCCATTTTCTGGGGACATTCGAGCTGATTTTCAGTGCTTCCAGCAGGCTAGGGCTGCCGGACTGTTGTCCACCTACAGAGCATTCTTATCCTCCCATCTGCAAGATCTCTCCACCATTGTGAGGAAAGCAGAGAGATACAGCCTTCCAATAGTGAATCTCAAGGTAAAAACAAATATGGTTCCCATTGCCTTCTGGATGCATTGGTCTCCACAGGACCTGGAGGCAGTTACCATTCCAGAACATCAACAAAAGACTGCAGATTCAAAGCCCAGCTCCCTCCAAACTAGCTGTGTCACTTTGGGTTGGTCATTTTCCCTCCCTAGACCTCAGTTTTCTTCCTACTTGTATGACTCTTGGAGCATACAGGAGAGATAATAATAGTTGCTTTCGTTTATATAGGTTTTTTTCTGTTTACCACACACTTTATATCTGTTATCTTAATGGATACTTCCAATAAAAATGGGAGTTATTCTTTTCTCAGTTCTTCAAATGAGAAAACGAGGTTCAGAGGAAGAAAGCAGTTTGCTCAAAGTCACTGCAAATTAGAATTAATTTTCTTGACTTCTGTGTCTGAGGCTCTTGGTTCCACCAGAGAATGCCTTCCAGAGGGCATAAGCTGAGTGGCATCAGAGAACAGCTGGGGGCACTGGTCCCCAAGGGCAGAGCACTTGGTCCTGGTTTGGTATTCTCTGAGCATCTAAGCTGCCACAGCCTGGCAGAGATTTCTCTGTCCCATTTGCTAGGAAAGCAGAGCCTCGAAGGGGCCTTTGATTATTCCATGGAAATAACAGACTTTTTGAAGGCTGCAGAGGGAATGGTCCATGGCAATTCACACACATCCTGAGTCCTGATAACTAACTAGCTCTCAAAAGAACTTTGAGACTCTTTGGTTCCTATAACCCCAGTACTCTACTTTGGACCCTTGAGACTAACAAGTTCCATTCAACCCCCATACCAAGCACTTTCCACCTCCTCTCCCAGGGTTCTGTTCCTACTAGAATTATGTTTGCTCTTGGATCTCTCCACAAAAGACCAGGCTCTTTCAGGAAGATGACTAAGAGATTCATCTCCCTATCACCCGTAGTGTATATTGGCATATGACATGGCATAAATTTGAAGCTCAGTACGTCTGCATAAATTTTTTTAACATAACAGTAATAAAAATAATGACCTCAATCACACTTATGATGGGGAGGAACCACATATAATAAGAGAAGTAACCATAAAAAATAAGACAGTAAGAGCAAAGAGGTTCAAGGATGGATAATAAAATCAAACCACAAATATTTCATGAGTTTCTACTCTGCCCAGGCTCTGAAACCAGGGCTGGGGATTTCAGTGTGAAGTGGCATCTGGGCTTTGAAGAATGAGTAAAGGAAAAAAATTGAGTCCATTTGTAGGCTGATGAATGATCCTAATGTGGCATTTTATCTCTATAGGGCCAAGTACTTTTTAATAATTGGGACTCGATTTTTTCTGGGCATGGAGGTCAGTTCAACACGCATGTTCCAATATACTCCTTTGATGGCCGAGACGTAATGACAGATCCTTCTTGGTAAGTGAGGGTGAAAATCCTCAGATGTGGTATGATAGACAGTTTCAGGAGACATCCTAGCCACAGGATCCTTTTATCAACTGCCTCTCCAGGGTATTACCAACATAAAGCCACAGCGAGGGTCATGGAGGAAAGCCCTGTCCTTGGAGCTAGAAGTTCCAACTCCAATAGCTCAACATGGGTCTCTGGGCAAGGCATTTCTACTCTCTGTGCCTCAGCTGCCTTCCCTATGTATACTACAGCTGCTATTTCTATGTATACCATAGAAATGTTATGAGAATAAAATGACTATGTTGAAACATGTAGCATGCAGTAGGCACTTAGTAAGTGGTAAGCTATGCAATGCCTGGTGATCCTGTAACTCTATACTATGATACTATGAGGTGCACTCTAAGTCTTGAAAATTATGTATGTTTTTCACCATAGAACAACTCAACAAACCTTTCCTTAGTGCCTGTGCCAGGCCTGATGCCAGGCATGGAAGGCACAGCAATAAACCTATACTACCCAACCGTTACACAACTCACAGTCTACAGAGGGAAACAAACATAGACTAACTATGATTCTAGACATAATGGAATAATTATAAAATGGAGAAACAGATATAATAGGAGTGTAGAGGAAATATTCATCTTCACTTTTACTTAAGGGTGAGAATCAGAGGTGGCTTCCTACAAGAGGAGGTATTTATTGGCCTTTGAAAGATGTGAAGGAGTCACTGGTCTGAAAATGAAAGAGAAGTTCTTCAGACTAAGAGACCTCATGAGCAAAGGTTTAGATGTGTAAAAGCATAGGGTGTGATTTAAGAGCAACTGCAAGCTGAGTAATGGCCAGAATACAGTGTGTAAAGAACGTTAGGGAAGCAGTGAGGATAGAGAGGTGATTTGGCATCAGACCATAGAGGGTTAAGGAGTTTGACTTGATTCACTAGACTTGTACCAATTTGCTCTCCAGTATATACCACAAAAAGTGTGATTTCAAAAAGTAACATGGTAAAATTACCTTCTAGGCCCCAGAAAGTCATCTGGCATGGCTCCAGCACCCATGGTGTCCGTCTTGTGGATAACTACTGTGAAGCGTGGCGAACTTCGGACATGGCCGTCACAGGGTTTGCCTCCCCGCTGAGCACGGGGAAGATTCTGGACCAGAAAGCATATAACTGTGCTAATAGGCTAATTGTCCTGTGTATCGAAAACAGTTTCATGACAGACGCTAGGAAATGATGATCATCCGGTGATTCTGAAAGAGTCTTCAAATTTTTCTTATGTGAAGAGTTGACACTGAAATCTAAAATGTTTAAATGTTGTAAATATTACAGTTTTTTAAAAATTACACATTAGTTACAACAGCAACCAAAGAAAACATACCTCAGTACACTCAAAACTGAAGACATAATGGACTCGGATCAAAGACAGAATCTGATCCGTATGTTGGTGCTAGGTTCTGCAGGAAGCCCCGTGTGGTGTGAACGCATCCCGACACAGGTTCAGGGCAAGTGGAAAACAAAGGCCATGGCATTCTGCCCACTGCATCCTTCAGAAAGTCATTTCCTCCTCTTAACCATTGTTGCTGAGTGTAAGATGTCCTTCATGTTTTCTTACAAAGTCAGTGTTTAGAAATAGTAGCCCTTTCTAAGTTATGTGCAGACCGAATGCTTTATTCCTTTCCATACATCCACCTTTGGAACAGCAGTTGCTGTTCATACAGAAAAATGAAACTTCTCAAATGATCCTATTTGTATTTTCTGACATTATCGGACTTCAATGATTTTTTTTCTCCTAAAATATTATGGCCATCATGCGTTAGGAATTTTATATTTTTACACAATCACGTTTTAGTATGCCATCTGTTTATATAACTGACTTGCTGGAAAAGTTGAAACTCCAAATGATCTGAAACTAGAAAAGAAATAGCACATAATTACTACCTTTCCCTTGGCGGCTCTCCGTCCCATCCCCCACCTCATGATGTTATGACTTCCATTTGGCAATTCTTGAATTATAACTGCAACTGAAACCAACAGGTTCGTAGAGATGAATTTTCTGAGACACATATATCTTCATGCTGTATACTTTGATTTTTTTTTCCATGTAAGTGAACATAAAAACATCTTTTCTGGGTGCTTTCTTCTGTTTGACTTTTTCCCCTTCATTCTTTTATTCTCCGTCACTGATGTGGAAACTGACCTGGGGTGGATTTGCCGTCCTGCTGCTGCCACTTGTGCTTGCCGTCAGCCAGTGATCAGAGAACTGAAAGATTTTCCCATCGTGCTCATCTGCTTCTCCTGTTGTAGGGGCAGTGTAGGGTGGGCAAAAGAGCCCCAGAGTGGGAAACTGGGTGACCTGTGATTCCGCCACGGTCTCAGAGCATGACTTTGGGCAAGTCTGCCTCTGTCTCTCAAGGAGATTGGGATAAGACAAGTATAATACTGGCTCCCAGGTATTAAGCATCAGACTTATTATCTATCCCATTTAATTTTCATAATACTGCAGGGTACAGTATTATGAAAATTTTTATCTCCATCTTACAAATGGAAAAAAAAAAAGTTGAGGCTCAGGAAGTTGTGTTCCAGGTCATACAGTTGGTGAGTGGTGTGCTGATGTCAGACTCAGGGTCTCTCTCACTCCAGTGCTCACAATGCTCCTAAGGAACCCTTATGCAAGGCTGCCTCTACCCTCCCTCCCAGCCCCAAGCGTGTGACTCTCCAAGAGCCAGAGAGAAACATAATCACCAGGCAAGAGGCATGCTGGGATATTTCCTCTCATTCAGATGAGCTGGCCCAGAAACTCAGCAAAATGAATTCACTCTCACTGAAGTAAGAAGAAAAAGTAGCAGCCCAGGGGCTTCCTGAATGGAAGAGCAGTGAGAATCTTTCCAACGAGTCATGGAATGAAGACAGTTATAGGTTGGAAAGCTTCAGAGGTGGATTGTTGAGGACTATACCATCTACTAAATGATGGGAGTTGGAGGATGCTTGGCAACGACAGGACTGCAAGGGAAGTGGGGTGGGAGGGTGCTCCTGAGGCCATGAAGTGCAGAAGGGGCAGGCTGGGGTGGGGAGTTGTGGAGGTGTCTAAAGGAGGAGAGACCCCTTTTGCTAACCCCGGGAAAGGGTTTTGAGGCTTATGCCACTGCATCTCAGGCCTCTTCATGCACTGAAAGAGGTAAAGCCGGCCTTCCAAGAAAGAGGCCCTGAATTAACCCCAACCCCATTCAGACTCAGAAGGCCCATCAAAATCCTGGGCCTGGCACTCAAGAGCATTCACTGATCATCAACTCTCACATGAGCCCTCTTGTCACATGCCAGAGACCATCAGCCCGGTGTCCTCATGGTCACTTAGATAAGCCACGTGGTCACTTAGATAGGCTTCTCTACCAGGCTGTGTCCATATGGACCATGTCCATATGGACCATGTCCACATGGTCACTTAGCTAAGTCACTTACATAGGCTTCTCTACCAGGCTGTGTTTTTTTCAACCTGCCCCATCTTGGGAACTTCTTAACCACTCTAGGTGTGGCCTGGCCCTTCTGCCGGTTGGCCTAACATCTGTGATATTCCCCATACTCCTGAACCCGCCTGCCTTTTCTCATGCTTGCCCCTCTAAACGCCTGATGTGTGTAACCTCTGAGTCTTGTCATACAGTTGAAACACAGTGGCTGAAGTGTCTCCAAGTCTTCATTCTACCCCATGCCTGGAAATCTAAATGTAACCTAAAGGTTGAGAAGCAGACTAATAGGTTCAGGCATGGAGGAAGAAGAAAGAGAAACCCTTCTCTCTTTATGATTATATTAATCCTGGGAAGGACTCTGGTTGGTCCCACTTGTGTTGTACATTCATAACTGTGATTGGCAGCCCTCCCAGAGATGAGTTGTACAGAAAGAACAATTTCTCCACCCAAAATGCATGTGGGTTTGCAGCGATCAGAAAACAGGCACACAAAAGATTGAGAGGACCACAAAAATAGATTCCACCACACGCAGCAGCAGGGAAGGCTGAGTGTGGGGAATATTATGGTGAAATGATAGGCAGAGGTGAGATCATAGCAGCCGTGAATTCTAGGATAAGGCATCTAGGGTTTATCCTACAACTGCTGCAGCACCTTGGGAAGATTTTAAGAAGGTGAGAGATAGGATCAGATCCATGTTTGAGAGAGATCAAGCAGGTCTTTTGCTTATGCATTCACTTATTCAGAAATATTTGTTGAATAATAATTTGTTACCTGGGATCATGTTTGGATTTGGAAGTACAAAAATAAATGATACTCCTACTTTTCAAATGTACCAAGCCATAGACAGTTTCAAATTTTGTGTATATCTCCTCCCCCTGCAACTCTTCAGACAAACACATATGTGCAATCCTTGCCTAACCTAGTAGCTGGAGAAGTACTTTTCTAATTACTCCTTGAGCTCCTGGGCCACCAAGATGCCACCGAGACTCTTCAAAGCTCTTTAGTGGCCAGGCTGATTTCCCCCTTTTGCCTTCTACCTTGTAGTCTAATTTGTAGTGCAGTTGAGTATTGAAAGGCCTTTTCTGGAGTATGAATTTTGACCCTGCCATCTACCAGCCATTAAGTTGGTAGATGATAAGTTACCGAAGATCTCCACATTACTGAAAATAATCCCCTACACTCAGTCCTTCCCTATAGTACAGTTTCTTCATCTGTAAAAACCGGGATCGTCATTGAAACTACTCTCCACTGAGTTAATCTACTGAAAGTATTGGGAGCAGGATTCTGGCCCCTAGTAAGCATCCAGTCAGTGTTTGGTATCCTTGGCCTGCCCCAGGTGTCCCTCAGGAGGAGCTGGGGGCGGGGTGGGAGTCCTTCCTCCAGCCTCACTAGATGGTTCCAACCTACCTGGTGTCTCTGCCCATCTCCAAGCCCAGGGTTGTGACTCAATGTGTGCACACAAGTACAGTGCTACCTGTGCTTGGTGAGTATCCACTGTCCCAAACCCCTGGGTGCCCTGGCTACCCTGCCCCTCTGCTCCTGCTCTCTGTAATCCAACAACTAAAATGTTATCATCTGGCTCAGCAGGGCCTCCAGGACCTAGCCCAGACACAACGGCTGGATCCCTTCTGATTGACAGGAGCACATGCCACAATGACTATTAAATAGGCTTATTATCCCCCTGCATGAGATTGCCCAGGACCCTGAGTTCCAAGAAAGGCCCAGAGCACCCTGTTATCTGATATGTTGGAAATTGTCTGCCCCTCCTTTCTTTCCTGACTTGTGCCTTTTCTTCTGATCCTTCTCTCAATGAGTAACTCCACCATCAGCCAGTAGCCAGGAGTCATCTACTTACTCATTTATTCAACAATATTGACTGAGTTCCTCCTTAGAATACAACCATATAATAAAAACTAGGGCATTCAGAAAAGTCAGGATATTTTTATGATGACTCTTGATTTTTTTACATGTCAAAATATTTTGAACATACCTTGGGGTGCTCTTGTATTGCTGCGTATGGTAGACTTCCTTTGAGGTTCCTCTCTTACCTTCCCTAGGACTATTGCTCACACCTCCATGCTCATCTCCTGGCCTCCACAGTACCTTCTCTTCAAGTTCACTCTCCACACTAGGAGAGAGAACTTTCTAGAAAGCCCATCACACTCAGTATTTTTATTTGGGTTCTCCTTTAGACGAGGATTCATTTGAAAAGATTTTATATATGAAGTGATCCCGGGGATCAAGGTAGGGGAGTAGGGAAGTGAGACAGGGAAGGGAAGACAGGTTTTAAGGGGTGCATATAATTACCACTGTAGGTGACTAGATCATGCCCTCCCCTTAGGAGCTCTGGAAGTCAATGCACTCTGGCAGCTCAGAGTTTCCAGAGTTTCCAACCTAAGGGACACAGGTGCTGTGGTATTTATACACCAGGCCCAACAGTCCTTGAAAAGTGGTGGTGGGGTGGGGGGTGAGTTGCATTCGAATTCAGGACTGCTTGTCATGCACAGGCAGAGTGGGCTCAGGCTGCCACAAAAAGTTCTCAAGCAAAGAGATGTGGATCTTAGCAATGGGAATTTGGAGGTCTATGAGTGGGGCACCCCAGAGCCAGCCATAGCAGGCTCAATCTAGCTGGAAGCCACTCAGGTTTTATTTCAAGATACCAATTTGAACCCACAATAATTTCCTCAAAACTTATTGAAGTGATAAAAACAAGAAAAATAAAAGAAAAAAAAAAAAACCAGCATGCAATACTACTGCTAAAAAAGGAGGAACAACTGGGAAGAAACCTTGAGGACTTTCTGGAATATATGAACATGGTATGATTGATTATTCTACAATCTCAGCAAAGGCAGGGCTTTTCTATGAATCCATCCTGAGGCTGCTACCTACAGAACTGTGCCAGCAGAGGCTGGAGACAGATAAGATGGGGAAGAGCTGAGGGGAAGCTCGCACAGACACATGCAGCTGTTAACCCAGAAGAGCTGTGGATCCTTTTCCATGTAGACTTTTATATCTGTGGGCATCATGGAACAACAAGCACCATTTAGTCATTTGAGGAGACTCAGCAGCCTCAGTAAGAGAACCAGCAGATCCATCAGAGTCAATGGTATCTATTTAAAGAGGGAATTATTACAGAAAACAGGAGATAACTTTGAAAAATTCAAATTTGGGCCGAGCTCGGTGGCTCAGTCTGTAATCTCGCACTTTGGGAGGCCGAGGTGAGTGAATTTACTGATCCCGCGGGTTCGAGACCCTCCTGGCTAACTTGGCGAGACCTCATCTCTGCAATAAATCAAAAATTAGCCGGGCGTGGTAGCGCGTGCCTGTAGTTCCAGTTACTTGGAAGGTTGAGGTGGAAGGATCGCCGGAGCCCAGCAGGTCGAGGCTGCGGTGGCTGGGAGTGGCCACTGCACTCCAGTCTGGGCGACAGAGTGAGACTTCAACTCAAAAAAAGAAAGAAAAAGAAAGAAAAATTCAAATTTGTATTTTCAGTGAAATTTTAGAGGGTAAAAGAAACATATGGAATACTAGGAGAAAAAGAAACAGTCCTTGAAAATAAAATAGTGGCTGCGTGTTCACCAAAAATAAATAGAATTATAGCCTATATACTATTAAAACATGATTTGGTGAATTATTAGATAAATAAAATTATTATGGTCCTCAAAACACAGACAAAAATT